AACATTAGTGTGGGCTTTAGAACTGTGGACGTAAAAATTGTGGACGAAAAGTCTGTGGACGTAAAAAAAGTGGACATTAAGTCTGTGTACCCTTTTAAGGGGAGAAGAAGCTCATTAAAATATTTTCAACCAGAGGCCGATGGTCTTGACGGCGTAACTAGGCTATGTCATCGGCTGGGCTTCAGTCAATCAGCGAATGCAAACTCCCACGCCTACCCATGACATTATAGACCGCTGAACACATAGCTTAAAATAGGACCAGATTTTGGCGACTTCAAAGATTTTCTTCATCAATTTGAGTAAAAAAAGGCCGAAAAATTACTGGAAGTTCAAAACTCTCTATGGCATAGAGTTACGAATTCGTAACAACGTATTTTCTGGGTCTTGAAAAAATGAATCTTTCCTCTGTGGCATTAGTTCGCAAATTGTCAATAGTATTACCTTTTTTTGAATAACTGATTCCCAAGAATTTAAAATTTTGAAGACAAATTCGTTACTTTATGTTTTTGGTGCAAGCTAAAAAAGATAGACGTGTGTCTCCCAGAATCTGAGATCTATCATTAATTAATGCCATAGAGAGTTAAGACCACCTCTGCTTGACGCTGTTAAATTATTTCAAACCATTTTTCTACGACATTTTTTCTCCATGAGCGATAAAAAAATGAAACTCTTGCCTAGACTATCGAACGTATTTGTGCCAAACGGAACTATGTGCACTATGACATGAGCCCTGGTGTGCATATATTCTTATGGGTCTCAGGGCTCATGTCTTAATGCACACAGTTCCGTTTGATAGAAATACGTCCTATTAACCTTGATAGTCACTTCCGAGCTCCACCGTCTTAAAGACTACTCTATCCTCTCGCTTCCTTTGAGAACAGGAAGTACCGTCATAAAAAAATAGAAAAAGAATCTGAAATCTCATATTTACTCTTTTTTTCATAGTTCATTGATTTTTTCGATTCATCGCACCGGCAAGCAGCAGCAGTTCACTGCCTCGACGGAGTGTCGCGCGGTTGACCTCCCAGGCTGACGTTTATTTATGAACACACACAGCTAACTCGCGCATTGAATTGATGCACTCACCTTAAAAACAGATTTCAAAGCGATTGTGGGCTGGAAGCGCAAGTAGTGCACCAGGTCAAGATGCACACACGTGCCTTTGACTCAATATTAAGCGAATATCGTGTCAAGTTCATTTCCGCGAATTTAATCTTAACTCTATCTCGGACGCGCTTTGTTTGTTGATTTATTTTTTTTCTCCGATCGCTTCTCACGATCTCGAACAGTGTATCTTGAGACTCTAGCATTAGTAGACTAATGCCTGTACTGCCGTGCTATGGAAGAACGCCGAATGAACATTCGAGAGTTGCCAAATTGCCTTCGATAAAATGGTCATTTTTGAGGCAACTTATGAATATTTTTCTTTGACATTTTCAGGAACTTTAGGTGAAATTGAGAACTTAATAATATGAAAAATTGGAAGAAATATATACATATGGTTACAAGGGAATTCGTGTTTTATCAAAGGATATTTGGCAACGCTAGAAGGTTCATACGGCGTTTTTCTTTACCACAGCAGTGCACTGCGATGATAAGGAGGAACGCCGTGTAAGCCTTTAGACACTGTCATGTTTCCTTCAATTCATAACGAATTTACCAGAAAAATTGTGGGTATTTTTCTGTAAAATTTTCACACAATTTTTTTCGCGATTCGATCTAAAATATTCAAATATGTCAAGGAAAAGTGTGCACTTTCCTCAAAATTAAATTACATATTTTATCCGGAGAAATTTGGCAACGCCCGAATTTCCATACGGCGTTCTTTGTTAGCATGATTGTGTGGACCAACTTGAGAGAGAATGAGATAAACGCTTTTACGGAAGTAAACTAGTTAAATAGGTGGCAACACTTTTCCGCATACTGATTATCGATGAATTACGATAATTACATGATTGAAGCATACCTGGTTTATCCGTGTTCTCACGATCAAGTAGAGGCTCAAGATGGAGCAGAAATCTGGTCAATCACGCAGTAAGAGTTCAGTGGAATAGAGAATTTGCACGCAAATTTTTTATTACTTCGTCTGAGAGTGCTTAAAGCACTGATTTTGCAGTATGTTTCATAATTTTTTTCTGATTTGGAACAAAGTATAAAAATAGATTTAAAAGTGAGAAAATGCACCGCCTAGTGACGCCTCGGTAGTATTTCCCATTTGAGAACATATATTTTTAGCAGATTAGATAATTTTGTCATATCACCTCCAATTTTTGTTCAATTCATGAAACATGGACATCCATTTCACTCTGTAGTCCCCACTTCAACACAAAATTCATTAAATTTCAGATACCTGCAAATTCTCCATTGCCTCATAATTAATTTCATTTTAATCGTGAAATACAGAACTCAGATGGAACAGATAAACACTTTTTTCAATGATTGTTGTTCTTTCAATGATTGCTTGATTATGATAACGAGCAAATGCGAACTAAATTTGAGCAATGAAAGCTAATATTTACGCGTTTAATATTTTTTATTTATTCGTCATATGTCACAAACGATACGGTTTTTACAGAGCTAGAGAAATATTTACCTTATACCGTAAAAATGAGGAATCGTATCATGAATCACTGAACACAGTAGAAAAGCAATGATTTTTTTAGATTCTACTTGCAGAATACGTTAAACACGGTGATTGTCCAAAATTTACCAATAAGTGAGGAAATTGCTGAAGAAGTTTACATTCTAATCGGAAAATTAATAAATATCGCTCCTAAAATACATCATCAATGTACAGCATATATGTAAGTGAGCCAAATCGGCCACCGAAGCAAACTTTTTGTTCCGTACAATTCGATTTTAGTTTTAAATATTTTAAGTCTGTCTCCACTTTAACACACAGTAAAAAAGTTGTCCAGTTAAGTTGTCGAAAATAATACGGAGCCCTGATTGCACACTGAGATAGTTTATTCTGCCCAATTTGACTGACTTATGCTTGGGTTCAATGGCAAATCTGAAGGTTATCTGGCAAATCTAACATAAGAATGCTTACTTTTCATCTAAGAGTCAAAGAACCTTTCAGACACGTTCACCTCATCTTCGCAATAATTTATGAGAAATCATGCATGTATTCTGATGATCAGTTTCTTACTTCGTGAGGAGTTTCGTTACGATTTATATGGTATAAAATAAAACAAATTGCATCGTATATTATTTACATACGCACAGATACTACGTTTATTGTGTACAATCCACAGAATTTTAATGATAACAAACTTTAATTTTAATTTTCGATGTTTTTTCTTTGGACTTAAAACTTAACTATACATATAAAAAAAAAAACCAAAAATATTATGGAATACGTTTTCGCACTGGGTAAACTGACAATTATTCCGGTTCTTTGCACGATATAATGCTTGCTCTCTTTGGTAATCGGATCAAAAACGGACTCACTTATTTTTATGGACGGATGAAATACCTTTGATCTGAGTTTTGCCATTTTATGATGATATAACTATTCCACTACAAGGGAGCTCGTGTTGCTTACACCACGAATAGTACAGTTTCAGTGCTGTAGAATCACCTCTCCATATTCGGTAAAAGGATATTTTTTGTGGATGGTTCATACAACCATGACATCTACGGTGATACCACTACTCGACCACGTGGGAGCCCGTGTTGCCTACACTAAAAATTGAAGGCGAGCTGACATGGCAGTAAAGTCACCTCTTGACGTACACACGCCGAAAACACTGTCAAACAAACCGAATTGTTAAATGGGCGTTTTTAGGTGATGGAGAAATGAGCTCCCACCTCGCCTGCCTCAGCGGACAGAACCAAGCTTTAATGCGGTAAACTTAAAGTTCAATCCAACAAACCGAAGTCTCATTTTACTGAACCGGAAAAGTTCTGTCAATGAGGAACATGTTCCACATGAACCAAAATTTTCGAGATCGTAGAACTGAGACTTTTGTTTACAAAATTTAAGTTCGATTCTGTCCATTGAAGCAGTCGGTTCGCTTAACTGAAGTCTTAGCCCTCTGATTCGAGTCGCATATACTAAGCTCTTCGGTTTGCCTCTAACCAAGGTCTTTTGCTTTACAATGGTCTCTTCTGAAGAGTTCTGCCAATAAGAATTTAACGAACAAACCCCTTGTGCTTTTTGGATAGAAATACCACATGGATTACATTTTGCAATCATGAACTACTATTTATGGCTCATCCCTGTAGCCATTCTTGAGAGTTGGCAACGCTGCTTATCCTACATTTAAACGTATAAAAAAATTGATATTAAGTGAGGCACGCTGCCTGACATAAAATCGATATTTTTAATGGATTTAAATACAGCAAAATCATTGTTGCCAAATAGAAAGCTATCGCCAATGGCTCATCCATAAGGGCACCTTTTTGCATAGGGGACATCAGAAGAAGGGAGGAAGAGGTAGAACAGGAACCAAAGGAAGTATAGGAAAAAGTGATAAAGACACGCAATAGGAAGAATCTGAAGAGAAGAAGAACTTCAGGAGGAAGAAGAATAGGAAGATGAAGAGAATAAATGGACGCATTTCTGTCAAACGGACCTAAGCGCCATTGGGAGAGGAAGGTAGAGGGGGGCTTGGATTGGCGGCGGAACCGGGCGTCGGGCTCATTCCGTCCTATACTCGCAATGCTTTTCCATGGCGCTTAGTTCCGTTTGACAGAACGCGCTATCCGGCATTCTAAATTCCTCAAAAGGGACTCAAATTGGCGCTTAGTTCCGTTTGACAGAAATACGTCCAAATGAGAGAAGAAAAAATAGGAAGAAAATACGGAATGAAGATGAGCAAGAGAAGGAAAGGCAAACAAGAGAAAAGCAAGAAATGAAAAGAGATGAGGAAGAAGAAGGGAGGAGAGAAAACATAATTGAGAGAAACAGAGGAGGGAAAGTGCCACAAAAAGGAGGAAAAACCGAAAAATAAGGGAGGAGATGAAAAGAATGGAGGAGGAGGAGGAGGAGGAGGAGGAGGATGAGGAGAAGATGAAAAAGAAAAAGGAGACGAAGAAGAATAAGAAATAAGGAAGATGAAGATGAAGATGATGAAGAGGAAGAGTAAGCCTTTGTCTGCGCAGGAAGCCAAGTAGCACGCGCTGCTTGTAAAATGAGCCTATAAAAGATGAGCCCGTTATTGGAAAATCCATTGCGCATTTCCTACCGTCAATAGACGCCACAAGAGGATTTAGAGATATTGATCAATTTGACAGCGTAACTGGAGCGGAGGGGCGTGTGGAACCAGGACACGATGACGTTTTCCGAGGGGGGGTCCGACCAGCAACAATGGCTGCCCAGCAGCGGGAGATCCTCCATGGCCGAGGCGGCCGTGACGTTGTCTCGGTGGCTGTGCTGGACCAGGCGGCTGCTCTGGCACTGCGAGCTGTAGCTCCGCGACGTCCGCGTCTGATTCGACGTCGACGTCGACGTCGCCCCCGACGCCCGCGCCACGTGCTTGTTCTCCGCCGACCGGAAGTAGTCGTCGTCGTTGGCGAAGAACGGGTCGATGGCGTTGGGCCCGGTGTTCTTGGCGTTGTTCACGTTCCCCGCGTCCACGCTCCCGAAGTTCCCCTTCTCGAAGTCGCTGTCGAAGGCCTCGAAGTTGAACGGGGTCGTCGAGGTGATCTGCTCGGGGGCTCGCGTCGTCCCAGGCGTCGGGTCGTTCAGCTTGAACGTCAAGTCGTCGTCCTGCGAATCCAGGTTTTTAACCTGCAAAATACAATCAAGCATATAGACGCTATTAGTGCGGTGACGTCATCATAGGGATTCTCCATTATGGACGAATGTAAGTTGAGTCCCAATGCATTGAGGTCATTAGGGGAGAAGGTAAATTGAGTCCCGACTCCTAATTGGTGGTACGTAAATTGAGTCCCGGTAGCATTATCACTGTATGTGTGAGGATGGGAGAGTGTGCGTGAGAGGCAAGAAATGAAGTAAATGTTTCGTGAAGTTAAGTGATTGTAAAAAGCTTAAATTTTATCTGCAAGTATTCACGATCCATGGTTACTACAAAGGTCGATTTGTTCCATTGGTTTTCTTGTTATTGCCTGACAAAAAAACTGATACGCACGCAACAGCCCTTCGGTTTGTCGTCAAGCCCTGTGAATATTTAGGTTTAAAGTTCCAACCGAAAGAAGTTTTTTTGGACTTCGAAGAAGGTATACACAAAGCAGCTCGTTGAGTATGGCCGAATGTTGGACTTAAGGGATGTCGCTTTCATCTTGGGCAGAGTTGGTGGCGCCACATACAAAAGTGCGGCTTAGCGACCGTGTATAAAGACTCTCGATCTGAACTCAGCAATTATTCAAAATATTTCTTCGGCTTGCCATTTTTAAGTGAAGGAGATGTTGACGATGCCTTCGTATTTTTATTTATTTCCACTACTATTCACTGTTCAACAACGCAAATACAATGGGACTCAATTTACCTATGGGGGATTAATTGACGGGACTCAATTTACCTATGGGTGATTAATTGACGGGACTCAACTTACCCTCAAAGGATCGTTTGGGACTCAACTTACCTTCTCCCTCCATTATATCGAATTGGATCCAAACAATAACGTTGGCATAAACTCTTTCAATGCTACCAATGCGAAAAAATCGATAAATATCGCTTTTCTGTGACGTTGCACTAATAGCGTCTATGATGCCGTGCTAAGGAGGACCGCCGTATGAACAGTCGAGAGTTCCCACATTCCCCTCGATAAAATATTTATTTTTTTAGGAAAGTTATGAATATTTTTTCGCGAAATTTTCACGAATTGTAGGTGAAATTGCATACAAAATTATCTGAAAATTCGAAAGGAAAATATTCACAAAGTTACCAGGGAATTCGTGTTTTATCAAAGGAAATTCGGCAACGCCTGAAGGTTCATATGGCGTTTTTCCTGGGCGGGGCAGCATAAGTCAAAAAGACACTACTCTAGAAAAAACCATGGAGTTCGCCCTAATGCCCCGTGGCGGCTACGAGGCGCAACCTCAAGAAAGCGCATCGCACTCTCTTAGGCTCCCTCTGCAATCCCCGTTAGTTAATCTCGATACAGGAGGCTCATTTAGGGGACATCTCCTATTGATAGCTGCAAAAATCACGAAAATCTCTAAGGTAGATCTTTAGAATTCTTAGTCTTAAAAATTCTGTGATCTTGAACAGATCTTAAGGTATGTTAAAACCTGCCCTAAAATGTTTAAAACTTGCGGAATTGTTTCTTTTGTATTTTTAATTATTCACAGGGGCAAATCATTTTAATCCCTCGTAAGGGTCTTTTTTCAAAGTAATCCTGTTGGATTTAACTCAAAATCCGGTAAACTTGTCCTTTTCATGATGCTTTGTCAAGGATCTCTTTAAATTTAATAAAAAATTAAATGCAAATTGTCAACATTTTAAAGCATGTAATATTCAGTGTAAGTCCATTACGTCATGAATAATTACTAAATCTAAGCATCCTTCCTTCTTCTTTCCTCCGTTCTTTCCTTATTTCTTTGTTCCCCTTTTCCCCCTCCTTTTTTCAGGTGAAAGGGAAGTGGCGCACACCCCCTAAGCCCCCCGGATCCGCCTATGGCTCCCCTATTTTTGCTCATGATCACTTATCAGGATGTTGGGTAGGAACACTTTACTGATCGATTCTTGAACATAGCTCCAAGCGGAGATGTTGCATGTGTGAGGAATTTGCGATTTGACTGTTGATTTTTACGTAAAAGTTTGCGAGAAACACAATGGTGCCACTGGTTTTCTCTGAAATCAACTCCCAAGCTCAAAAAAAGCTCTCAAGTTGAGGCCAAAATGGAGGGGATATCCCACGCTATCCAGAGATTCCACCTCTACACCAAGACAAACTCTACATGCAAAGATAGGGAGCAAATAAATTAGCAGGGCTGCCACTTTCTTTGGGGACTCTAAAATTGAAAACACGGCATCCCTTCCCTGCTAATGTATTTGCTCCCTATCTTAGCATGGAGAGCTTGTCTTGATGTAGAGGTGGACTTTCAATATAGCGTGGGATATCCCCTCCATTTTGGCCTCAACTTGAGAGCTTTTTTTAAGCTTGGGAGTTGATTTCAGAGAAAGCCAGTGGCAGCATCGTCTTTCTCGCGAACTTTTACATAGTAACCGACAGTCAAATCGCAAATTCCTCACACATGCAACATCTTCATTACAGAGCACGGGCGGATACAAAAGATTTACAGATAGAACAGAGAACTGAAAAGTTTCAGCTGGCGTTTTTCGAACTATGCAAGCGCTAATTGGACCACATCTTGCAGTTAGGAACTGCAATTTCTGGCTCAGTTTAGAAACAATGTAGGCACCACTATTAGCCCTATGTACATACGTGTTTTTACAGATGAGGCAGAAATCCTAGTTCCAAATTTGCAAAATGTAGTCCAATTTTCCTTGATCAAAAACTGAGATCTCGTATTGTCACTCAAACAAATATTTCGGGCTGGAAAGTTCGGAATCAAATTTATAGCGGAAGTTCGCATCCCAAGGCCACACGGAAAGATTTAAGGCCTCTTTTCAGAGAAAGCCAGTGGCACCATCGTGTTTCTCGCGAACTTTTACGTAAGAATCAACAGTCAAATCGCAAATTCCTCACACATGCAACATCTCCATTGGAAAATATAGATTGAGAGGTACCTCGTTGCTCTTGGCGCGGCTTTTGCGCATCTCGTTGACGATGGCCATGGCCGGGATGATGGCGAACGCGATGACGCGGGTCAGGAACGCGGCCACCCGGCCGATGCTCGAGGCGCGCGTCTCCACCTGGCGCGAGCTCCCCCGGTTCCAGAACAGCGCTTCCGCCGTCTCCGGCAACTTTTCCGGCTTTTCCGCCTCGACCGCCGACTCCGGATCCTCTGCTCCGGCCGGACTCGTCGAGTTTTGACCATCGGTGTGTCTGGCGCCTCTTTTCCTCGTTCCATTCGTATCTTGTCGCGCCAGCGTGAATCCGTAAACTTCTCCGCCGTTTTCGGAACTTATCCGGACGGCACCCGTCCCTGGCAATGTCCAATTTCGGCTCTGAAACAATATATCAGGCAAGACGTTGTCCGGATCTTATTCTGTTTCACAACTTCATATATTGTATTCAGTGGCGTGGCGTGCTATGCGATCTATCGATATTTCCCTGTTTGAAGCCGTGGTAAATAATCGATTATTAAGGTGTTCGCTGCGAACACCTTGTTTATCGATACTTTTCCATAGGTTTAAATGGCCGATCAATCGATATATCTCAAAGCACGCCTCGTCACTGATTGTATTGTGATTATGTAGCAGGCAATCAATCAAATCGGGCGTTTTATCAAACACCAAGGTAGATAGTCAAATATTGAAAGTTTGTGGGATTTTGTAAATCCATGGTGAAGAGCTCACGAGTTTTCGATATTTTGGGGGGGGGGGATTAATGTCAAAACGAACTCTTTCTCGTTTCTTTTTTAAAATGATTTATTTTATGACATGCTGAAAAATTCAAAATAATTGTTCAGAATTCAAGAGATAAAATTAGGATTGTATGATGTACTATAAAATGCAATGGACCACTAGACAAGGTACAAATTTAAGCGATCTGATACATGTTTCTTAACCAGAAGTTCACGTAGAAAACGATTCACACAACGAAAATTACTGAAACCAATTCCTAACGAAGGTATTGACGTTTTTATTTCACATTGGTTACGAGGAATTTAAACTGCCCGCTCACAAGAAACTCAAAGCTCTACGTGAGTCAAATTGCCCACTACAACGGTTTCAGCTTCTCAATCGAGCAATGTTTATTTCCCACTGTGTGTTGTTCAAAGATTGAGGTTGCCAGATTTTTGTATTGCAGAGACTGTCATGATAACGTTTAGCGCGCGATGTGAATCACGTAGAGCATTGAATTTTCATGAGCGGGTGGTTTGAATTCACGCATCAAGAATCATTAATTATCTTCGTAAGGAGTTAATTTCGGTAATTTTCGTTATGTGCATCGTGTTTTACGTAAAATTTTGGTTAAGAAACATGTATCAGAATGCTGAAATTCGTACCTTATCTAGTGGTCCATTGTAGATTTCTCATTTTTACAGAGAATTCTTACAGGAGCAATGGATTATTATTTTGTCTAAAATTCCGAAAACAATCAAAATTTCAATCCATTAAAAAAAAAGAATTAGACTATTGCCGCGGGCATTTGAGAAAAATACCTGATTTAACTATTTCCCTTCGATAATTTCACACTTAACTTTTAGAAAAATTGGGGGTGAAACCCTCAAACCACATATCTCGGTTTGCGATGTTGCAGATTTCCTGTCATACTTTATTTTTCAGATGGGAGACGGTTCAACGTCAAGGCATAAGAACTTCCGTGATTTTTCTTTTCCTTGAGAGGAAAATTAAAAAAAAAACTTCAAGGAATAATCTTAATTTGTTCTCCTTAAAAAAATAAGAAAAGGAGCGGAGATATTAAAACACCGCAAACGAAGGCACGTCGTTTAGAAGTTTCAACATCGAAATACGTTTATGTACATATGTCGGAGCTTTGCAGAAATGAAAGAGAAAGAGAAGCATGATGAATGCACTGATTTTCCTTATACATTATTTTGTGGCCACGTCGACTGGGCAATTAAAGTAACCTCGTAGAAAAGCGTAGAATAGCATGTGAAAATCAAGGCCGAATCTGTGTCATTCTGAGGCTCCTTTAAGTCCTTAGCTAGGTACAGATTATGCAAGCACCTAAAATAGCTGCAGGAAAAAGGTGTTGAGTATCATACAGGAATGAAGCCGCGTTAAGCTGAGATCATGTTATTAACCCACTATGGCTTTGGTATTACTGATTCGTAACAACGTATTTTTCGATCTTTTAAAAACTGCAATTTTTTTTATGTGAAATCTTGATGAATCCTAATGAATCTTTCCTATGTGGCATAATGTCGCAAAGTTTCATCGTCCACATATTTTGAACTCCTGCTTAAATTTGAGGTGTAAAATGATTTTACCTGCTCATCTACTTGCCCAGTTAGGGATTTGAGGCCGGAGATATGTAGAGTCCAATGGCCGGATGAACCTTCCCAATTTTGACAAATGTGACGCCATTTTCCATCTCCGAGCTTGACTTCATTTTTCATCACAAGTTTATCCTTAAGCCAAAATTGTATTGAGGTACCACCGTCCGAAATCCACCATTTTAGGATTCCATCAGAATTCTTTGAATCGCCTGTTGGATCAAATTTTAAAATTTTTAGGCACATCGATATTAAAAGTTTAGGTTGTAAACACAAATATTAGGCGGAGTTGAATCGTGTTTTATTCGATAGAAATCTAATTCAGCCTCTGGTTCAGATTTTCTGAATCAGCCTCTGGTTCAGATTTTCTGAATCAGTCTCTGGTTCAGATTCTCTGAATCAGCCTCTGGGTCAGATTTTCTGAATCAGACTCTGGTTCAGATTTTCTGAATCCGCTTCTGGCTCAGATTCTCTGAATCAGCCTCTGGTTACTTAAATTAAAACATTTGGTATAAAACGGATATGTTTTCCGTATTATCATATTTTTCAGAGGTAACAGTTTGTTAAAAGTAACAATCGAACCACTGGCAATGTAGTAGGCGAATGACACTAGCAATCTGAAATTTAACTTAAAAACAAGATCGCCACAGCATGAAATAATCACCATTCTTTGGAACATCTTAAAGCGCAGCTTAAAGGCGACGAAACTCAATAAACTTATTGGTAAAATGTCAGAATTTAATATACTTTTGTAGATATTTAAAATATTTTCTCCGCACACAAGAAGCTCGAGAGTTCCTGGTCACCTCAAATGGCGAACTATCCTCTCAGTAACTTTTACAGAATATTTGTTGTCTAATTGGGTTTTGGCCGCCACTTAAGAATACTTTAATGCTTAACGTTATTCGATTCGATCTCCAGCATATTACAAGTTCTTCTACTAAGAATGATTTGATGAGACTTACGTGGATGGTAAGAAAAAATTGTTAAGTTTTTTGTTGTACTTTCAAGTTTCAACCATGTGCACGCTGTAAAGTCATTTATCGAGTTGACGTTTCTCATTGAAAACTCCACTATCTGAAACCAATAAAAATCGTATGTTACGGCTCAGGCATTATCACATCTGAAGTATGCTGTCGTGCTAAGGCAAAACGCCGTATCAACATTCGAGAGTTGCCAAATTCCCTCTGATGAAACATTTATTTTCAAGGCGGGTTATGAATATTTTCCTTTGAAATTCACAGGAGCTTTAGAGGAAATTGCAAACGTAATTGCACGAAAAATTGAAAGAAAAATATTGATAAGTTTACCGATAAATTCGTGTTTCATCAAATGAAATTTGGCAACGCCTGAGGGTTCATACGGCGTTTTTCCTTAGCACGGCAGAGTATGAGCCCCGTCATGCATGTATTCTTCGGGGACCCAAGGCTTCAAATTTAATTTTACGGCGACTTTATTTAGTGAAAAAAAGCCATTTTTGAGCTTTTTCCATCGCAGAGACGGGTTTCTCGATGAATATACAGTGGAAGCACCTTGTTTTATAACGAATACGGGGTCATGCACCAGCCCCATTATATCAGAGGCTTAAGAAATTTTCGATCTCGCAATCTTGGAAAAAATTAGGAATTTTAGGACAAATGAGCACTTACGAAAAAGTCGTCTGAAAGTGCAATGATGATTCAACATGTATCTGTTTCGTATTTGCGTTATGAGCTGTCCACCCACGTCATCAGAATTATTCAAAGGGCTGGGCTGAACAGAACTGAGAATTTTCCAAATCCTCCTGTCAAACTTCCAAGTTGTCAATATAAAAATGACCTCTCTCCCTGTTTGGTAAACCTTTGCTTCTACAAAATACTACCACGCCTATGCCACGCGCAAAATGATAAATATCATTGTCTTAACATATACCACTTTCTTATAAAGATTTGTTCTCGAGGGACAAAAAATCAAATTAGTAAGGAGGCAATGTGATCGCTGATATTTTTTGTGCTTCAAAAGATACACCGATGTTTTTTTGTGTGGTAGACTGTGAGCTTGCTATGCAACGCGGCTTCTCGAAATCATCGCGTAAAATCAAGACTTTCGTTTCAGACCCATGTAATAGCAATAAAAACTGTTCAGTCTTCCAGTTATGCAGCAGGTGTAGCCACGCTCGTCTTTGAAGGTTAGGCCAACTCTTTCGGCGGGCGTACTACTCGCATTTTTTGCTTGAACTTGCGGTTTTCAATCACGCGCGCGACGATAGAGGAAAACCGGAGACCGTTCAATTATGAATGACAGAGCTTCTTAAATGACTCCTATTTTACTAAAGCGCCTCTTATTTCCGCATCACCGTGTTTTGACGTTGTTATTCGCACAGAGATGTATTTTTTAAAAAATGTTCATTCTCCAAGTACAAGAGTGATCAGTGATCACGGAAAAAGAGGAATACAGTGATGTGTATGTAGCATTGCAATCCATTTAGTGAAATGAAGAAAATAATTTATAGGAAACTAGAAGATAATGGTGTCTCATCAACTTATGCCTCACGCGCAGACGTGGGCCTCATCATCACAGAAAAATTCCAGGTTTCAGCAAAATGCGAGCTGATAAATTCTCCACCTTACATTAAGACTATTTATCTTTATTATACTGCCGTGTTAAGGAAAAACGCCCTATGAGCCCTTAGACGTTTCCAAATTTTCTTCGACAAATCACACGCATTTTCAGGAAAATTTTGCATATCTCCCGATTTTTCAGATGATTTTTTTTAGTAATTAGATCTAAAAGTTCAGAAAATTCAAGGAAAAATATTCGTAGGATTCTTCAAAAATAAATATTTTCTGGGAGGAAAGGCGACTCTCGAATGTACATTCGGCATTTTCCCTTAGCATGGGTATTCCTCAGTATGGATTTGTGTGCAACATACTTCCTTTTAGCATAAATACGTCCACATTAGTTTAGCAGAAAACTCTCAATCCTTAGATATCTTGAACTAGCCTAAACACTTGATTTAACTAAACTTTTTGGTTGATTGGACCAAAAATTTGTAGGTTTGACCAAATTGTTTCGGTTGATCCATAACTAGAAGAAAATTCACCCGAAGTAACCAAAAACAAGGAAAGTTCTAACTGCTTGCACTTGTTGTCATTTAAAATTAGATTTTATAAGCATCCAGAGTACGATGGAATTACCTGGAAGGAACTATTTGAAAATTGGATTTTCCTAAATCCTATAGGCTCTTTGATTGACGCCTGGTCCGAGGATGGGTTGGGACTTCGAACTGAAGTGGCATTTCCTTTTGAAATTGATTCTGCTAAAGACCACACGTTTTCACCTGCGATGACTATGACAAATTTCAGGTAAATTAAGCACCAGGCCGGCATTGATCTCTGCGGATGACACTTCTGTTTCCGTCTCTTGGATTCCGACTCCATGAAAACCTTTGCTCTTTTCTCGTTGTTTCCGATATTTATTCCGAAATCTGAAAATAGAGTAAAAAACATTGTAGTCGTCTGAAACGTTGAGCTCAATACTCAATAATTATTATTGAAATTGTGCAAATTTAACACAGCTCATTAGTGGAAAGATTATATAATCAAGCTATGAAACACGGTTTAAATATCTTGGCAATTGCATCCTTTTTTATATATACATGGTGGCCCAAAAAAGAATACGAAATAGCTATTAGTCGGTACCATACTGTTAAATAGGGTATTTTTCGTCGTTACTGTATCCCTTCCTCGGTTGTTTGTACAAAGTTACCTACACTCTAATAATTTCAAGTTAACATATATTATAAAGTACAGCTCAAACTTGTAAAAAAAAATCACTTAAAGTAGATTAATGATTTGGCTATTCATGGGCACCTACTGGAAAAATACCTCCATGCCATAATAAATCACAACATCATGATGTTTGCTTTTAAAATAGACGAACGTGGCTGTATTACAGCGAGGAACTGCTAAGCTCCTACAGGACTACTTTTTATGTCTTGTTTTTAAACACCGTTTTTAAAAAGCTACACACACAGTTTTTCTGAAGAGTTCCCAAGTTTGTTTTTTTAAAGCCACACGCAGTTTTTTTTTAAGAGTTTCGAAATTTCCGAAATGATTTCAAAATAAAATTACAAAAAATTCCGACGGGATATTTTCGTTCGTTCTGTTTTCTTTATATTAACCAAAATTAATTTTATACGATTCAAGTTTCAGGACCGCTGAATCGTCCGAGTTTCTGCATCGTTGCAATTAAGATACATATTAACCCTTTAATTGGAGTAAAAACCGGACAGAAACCGTCAAAAGAAATGACGCGTGGACCTAGTTTTGCGGTGATTTTAGCGTCGCGCAAGCCACGGGAGGGAGTGCGAAGTGCGGTCGAGTATCGCGTCATCCTCACAGTGTGATGCACCTTTAGTCCAGCTAGCGGCAATGTGCGTATAGCCATACTAGAATCGCAAATGACTCTCGCGCGTTTGGTGCAACGCGAGAAGTATTCAATTAGTCTTGTAGGCGCTAACATGCGCTTGACACCGACCGCACTGTTTGGCGCAATGCGCGAAGTATTCCTGCAGTCTTGCAGGCGCTGATATGAGTTTGCCGCCGATCACACCGTGTTTGGCGCGGTTATTTGAACTCGCGTTAGGATCTTGAATCGCGGCATCGAACAATGACCCAAGGCCCATGTGTTTCGACGCCAAACGAGCACTGAAACGTTGCCTCGTTTCTCCCGATAAAATATTTTCTCTGAGAAAAGTTAGGAAAGTTCAGTAAGTTCGCTTTTTTAGATTGAATGAACCATTAAACAAGGTACGAATTTAAGCATTCTGATATGTATGATTATTCACCAGAATTTCACTATTATTTCTAGGGAGCTATCCCGAGGGAAGGTAAGGGGGGGGGGTCCAACTCTAGGATTCTTAGGAGAAGAAATAGAGTTATACCAATACATACCTGGAGTTTTTTAAAAAAACGCATAACAGTGAAACTACAAAAACAGGCATTTGGATTCGCGCGACGCTTCAGACTTCCTGCCATAATGGGTCAATTGCGCTAGTCAGAGAATCATGTTCATTGGTGTTTAAAGCTGATCAATTTGCAAAAAACATTCAGATCTGCTCAAACGCCAAGTTTCAACGTCTAATATCAATAGAAATATCTCTCATCGAAAAATACGGCTCATTCTGACGACGTCCTCCACCATTGTTAAGCGTACCATGGTTTCTTCCACCTTTATTTCATCAATAGACTGATTCAGTGACCACGTCATTCGATGTAATATCGAACTCTTGGATCAAACCAAAACAAACTAACATAGCTCCATGTGCGAATTCTACATGAGTTAATTGTGCTAAATTATTAAAATTCAGTCATTGGACCGGTCATAAATCAACCAAAGACTCATTATATACGAGAAATTGCCAAGGTAAGAAACACTTGGACGCATATTACTACCATGGTGCAAAGGGCACGAATGAGCGCAAAATGGCGCGAATCAGAACCAATGTTCTGTGTTTGTTTGTGTTGTCACTGTTACATTCGAACCAAGGGTTTGATATTAGGACGTATTTCTGTCAAACAGAACCATGTGCATTATTGCGTGAGCCCTGTAATGCATGTATTTTTATGGGTAGAGCTCATGTCTTAAAGCATATAGTTCTCTTTGATAGAAATACGTCCATCACATCGAATGACGTAGCCACTAAATGAGTCTATGGATGAGACACGAATTTGCACCGGCTGCTCGACGTAAACCAAGGATAAGACCAAGGTGATGGGAGAAACACGGTATGCGCTACCACAGTGGATGACGTCATACACCGTATTTTTTAAGGACTTTTTCGTAAATATTGGTCGTAGGAACTTGGCGTTTGAACGGATCTTATCGTTTTTTGCTAAACTTTAAGCTTGTGTCATCAAAACACGATCATGTATTATGTAACCTGCGCATTTTGACCCGTTTTTTTTTCAAATGGAAGAAGACTCGACGTGATTTTTTAAAAGTTTTGTTGATTGTTTGAAGTTTGCATGATTTTTCCACAAATGCATTTTTCAACCCTAACACAGCCGCAGCTAAGCAAGACGGTCGTATCAGTGGCGAGGCGTGAACGATCGATTATCGATATTTCCCATTTGAAGCTATAATAAAGAATCGATTAACAAGGTGTTCACAACCAACCCCTTGTTAATCGATTCTCTTCCATCGGTTTAAATGGCTAGTCAATCGATATATCGCAAAGCACGCCACGCCACTGGATTGTATCCACGTGTGCCGTCATCGATAGAATCAGTGAGCAGGGTGTCTCGACGCAGCGGCGCACAGTGGATCGAGTCAATTGGAGAGGTCGGACATGAAATTTTTGACTTTAACTGCAAATTTTTATGTTTCTTTCGTCACATTTTAAATTATGAGGGGTGCCTCTGGAAGGAAATTTCTCAAGGAAACCGACAGAGCCACTTCTAGAACCTTAAAGTTTCGTATAAACGGAGTTATGAGCGTTTAAAGTTTCTGAGTTGTGTCCGACCTCACTCACTAACTCGAGCCACTGTGCGGCGGCGCGGCGTAACCGCGTCGCGTCAACTCGTTGTCGTCGGTGAGCGAGTTGGTGAGCGTCCAAGTGAAACGTCGCGACGCCTTCACAGTTGGACGTATTTCTATCAAACAGAACTAAATGCCTTAAGGCATGAGCCCTGAGACCCATAAGAACACATGCATTATAGGGCTCACGTAATAATGCACATGGTTCCGTTTGACAGAAATACGTCCAGTTAGTCACTTGGAAGAACTCGGATGCAAAGATACCTATACCTCGCCTTACATAATCCACGCAATTGTTTCATCCAGTGCGGCAGTTTTCTCACGAATTTGCCCGGGTCCGCTTCCTCACTCCCATGCCAAACACCCTCCCCCTCCCCCTCCCTAACAGGTCGATGCAAGGGGAGGAGGGCGGGGGGGGTGCACCCCCCCCCATTTGTCCGAAAAAAGGGGGAAGAAAAATGAAAGGAGGAAAGAAGGAAAGAACGGAGGAAAGCTTAGGGAGAGACACTTACATTTGGGAATTATTATTGATGCCGCATTTGACTCAAACTACATATTAGATGCTCAAAAAATCAAAAATTCTCTGGGGAGGCCCCCGCACCTCCCTTGCCCTCCCCTTGTTCCGACAGTCTGGATCCGCCGAGGCGTTCGCACATCACATCATTTTTTCCGCTCTCATCAGAAATAACATAAAAATTTACCCACCAACTTGGCCAGGGAGTGCAAAACTTTGGATATTATCACCTCCTTCGACTTTTTTCGCAGCGATAGAAGCTACGGAGATCACAAATCATGTGACTTTGTACTTCCGTAGCCCCCAAAAGTGGAACAAATCTGCTTCACCTATTTTGCCTTATTTTTTCCACGTGCAAATTTATTTTTTCTCTGACCCACATTGTGTTCGACTGTAATTAAACCCACACAGGTTGACCTTATAATCTGATTAATCGTCGATTTTTAATGACTTTTAGCCAAGAAAAAAAAAAGAAAGATTTTTCGCCAATTGTTATCGTGAAAGAGGATACGGTTAATTATTGCCTGAGTCACGTATTGCTGTCCTATCCGCAGACACGGTTGGATTCCTTAAATTGTTTAAAGCGTAAGTCATAAAGAAGTATCGGCGTTGAATGGGTACGTAATAATGAAGGTAAACTGTGTAAAAAAACGCATTGTAGCTTGACCTCTCCTTTCATTCTTTCATGCCAAATTAAAATAACCTCCAACTGTTGGCACAACAAATCAAATACAGCATACCCCATTCCTCGGCCGTTTTTCTCTGATTCGTAAAATAACCTGAGACGAACGTCTAAAACTCTCGGTGGTCTCTTAATTGCATATTCCACCGCTCTCTCATAAGAATTTTTCAGGATTAATTATAAACTTGACATTAATAAGCTCACTTATGGATTCTATCAAATATCCTCGTTAACAAAGAAGGATGGAAGGAGTACGCTGAATACAGGACAAACATCGTATGAGCCTTCAGACGTTGCCATATTTTCTCCATTAAAAATCGAATTCACCGATAAAATCATGAGTATTTTTCCATCAAATCTCTCAGACAGTTTTGTTTGCAATTTAATCCTAAATATCTGAACATTTCAAGGAAAAAGTATGTATAACTTTCCTAAAAAATGCAGGTTGAGGCGGGAGATTTTGGCAATGCTCGAATGTTCATACGGCGTTTTTTCTTAGCAAGGCAGGATAGCTCAGTGTCATCTATAATCTGCATAATTATCCGGTTGCTGATATTGGCTCGAATATTCCTCGCATTTTAAAATCCTCTATGCATATTTTCGTCCATAACGATAAACTTAATGCACACCCGGAAAAATCTTAAAATGTGATGTGTGTAGCGTTGTTGGAATGATCGCGCAGGAAGGATCCACTACCTTTTGCTCATTTTCTAAAAGATTCTATCTATACGGGGAAACTAACGGCACATATGCTGTCTCTAAAATTAGTTCTCATTACGAAGTGTGGTTCAATTTTTCTCAGCACGTGCTGGTGACGCTGTGCCACTTTTTCTCCAAAAGCACGAAACACATATGCAATTTTGATAAACCGTGATCGAGGTAATTTTGAATTGAACGCATCGATGGCCAAGGTACACTGCCGTGCTAAGAAAGAACGTCGTATGAACCTTCAGACGTTACCAAATTTCCCTCGATAAAGAACGAATTTACGGGGAAATTTGTGAATATGTTTTCCAAAATCGTCAGACAATTTCGTACGCAATTTAATCTAATGCATCTGACGATTTCAAAGAAAAATGTGCACGAATGTCGTCAAAAATACATATTTTATCAAGGGAAATTTGGCAACTCTCGAATGTTCATACGGCGTTTTTCCTTAGCACGTAACCACGTAGCAGCGGTGTTTCAAAATTTCTGCTCCCATTTTATATTTTCGAAGAGCAACGACCGAACTAAATAGCTCGAAATAATAAGCAAATATTTTGCGGCCAGGGAGGAAAAATCGTGGAAATTTTCCAGAGACACATTGACAAATTTTCCAAAGATTCAATCTGGTATGACAGGAAGTCTGCAACGTCGCAAGCGGAAATACGTGGTTTCGCACTTTGGACGTATGGTCCGTAGGACGAGTCCCCACTTCGTACGGAATAACATGTTAACCTCCCCTCCCCACCCCCGCATCCCCCCTCTAAGACGTAAAGAGGGTGGCGGGGGGCGCGGGTAAGACTTACCAGGGGGCAGCGCTGGGACGGCGAGATGCTGGACGGTCGAGGCTCCGAAGACGGGATCATGCTCGAAGCAGCGGCGTAGATGAGGCCGAAACACTTGGGCACTGGAGGGTTGCGGCGACGAGCGGACACGGAACGGACACTCGGACACGGGACAACGGCCGGGGACACCTCGGACGGAGGACTCATGCAACCGTAAGTGAAACTATTTCCATGGCCCCGCCGGCGCCGGTGCCCCCCCCCCCCCCCCNGAGCTCCCCGACGGGGGACCTCGGACGAGAGCGAAAGTACTTTTCACTTTCGTTCGTGTGTTATAATCGATCTTAAAACGGGGGAAAAGACAGGGCACCAAGCCGGAGAGCGAGGCTGGTGCCCGGCGAGTGCAGGACCAGCGGGAGTTGCGCTGGCTGCTCCGCTGTTTCCTCGAGTCCTACTCGGTCCCACGGGCTCATTCTTGAAATTGATAGACAAAGTTATATCGACGGTGAAACAACCAAACCACGTATCTCGTTTGCGGTGTTTAAAAATCTACGCTCACATTTTATTTTTTTGAAGTAGACCGAATCAATATCATTCCTTTAAATTTTCACGGAATTTTCTCCGCACAAAGAGGAAAAATCACAGAGATTTTCAAGACTAGATGATAAGTAGTTTTTCATTTAAAAAGTAAAGTATGACAGGAAGTCTGCGACGTCGCCAACCGAGATACGTGGTTTGGTAGTTTCACCGTCGATATAGACAAAGAGGACAAAAGGGATATGGAGGAATTCTATGGGCGGAAGCAGGTGGTTGCAATGGACAATGAAGGTAGATAATAGACTAAGTAACGGCAACCCACGAGAGACCCCATCATTTTCCACCTTAGTCTATGTAAAAAAAACCATTTCAACCAATAGTATCGCTCCACACTCCTTATGTCCTCTTTGTCTATCGCTGTCTCGAGGGAGTTTGAAGTCTACGATTAGGTTTTCAGAGTTGCACTTCGGAATCGTTTCAAAAAATATCCAACAACAAAATGCAACATTGATCCTAAAATTACCAATTCAACGGTAACCATACAGATGGTAAAATAAGGAGAACTGAGGGCTGATTGTTGAAATTGATGGAAAAAGCTACAGACAAAGAAGACAAAAGGGATATGGAGGGATCCTATATTGGCGAAAGCAGGTGGTTGTAATCAAGGCCGGATTTACCTAATTGCCGCCCATGGGCCGCCTGTATTTTGCCGCCCCCCTCTCATTCGTTTTGAAATACCAAAAAAAACCATTAAGTAAGCGTGCCAGCGGGAGAGGGATGCATAAGAATCGTTTACTCGTGTTGGACATATTTTTTGGGAAAGCCCTGTTATCACCACTCCTGTTAACATTACTTGCAAAAGTTCACGGAACTTTGCGCGAAAGTTAAGTTCCGTGAACCTATCTCTGTGTGGACAAGGCCTTCTATTCATAAGAAATGAACGAACAAATTATGAGAGAACAAACATAGATGTAGTTTAATGATTTTAACTTCCGCCACCGCGCCGCGCAGACTGCACTGTGTTTGACGCAATGCGTGAAGTATTCACGCAGTCTTGTAGGCGCTAAGAGTTTCACGCTGGCCGCACTGTCTTTGGCGCAATGTGTGAAGTATTCATGGATTCTTGCAGGCGCTGTCCGTTTCACGCTGACCGCAGTGACCGCACTGTGTTTGACGCAATGCTTGAAGTATTCGTTCAGTCTTGTAGGCGCTAATATGTGTTACATGCCGACCGCCGCGTCGAGGGCTTCTCCTTTTCATCTCAAGTCCTCGTCATCATTTCTCTCTAAGTCGCGCCGTTCCAGGCCAAATTGCGTGTTTGGTTTCTCTCTTAACTCGATTAATGAAAGGTGCTGTCTCTTTAATCACTAAAAGACAACAAAATTAGAAATTACGATACTCTCAGGAAATGAGAGATTTTTTCGCCTTTTCTTGTTTGTTATTTTTTTTCAAAATTCGATCTTTTTTTTAAAAAAAAATTGCAAAACTTGCCGCCTCCTTGATTTGCCGCCATGGGCCGCGGCCATGACTCTGAAAGTTACAGCTAAAGTGAATATTTACTGAAATTATTCAGCATTTCCAGTTACATCAGCTGGGACTGCAACTGCAACTGCTGAAACGCAGCAGTAACTTTGGAAAGCTGCCATGACAGCAGTTTTCGATCAAAGAAAATTTTTCGGATCAATTCGTATGGGAACTTCGGGAAATGGTTATGTGCGCTGAGGCTTTTGTATTTATAGTAATTGATCAGTGACCAAGAAAATCCCACTCGCACAATACATATCTGAGACACTGGACTGATTACAAGATTGACTTGCTTTCATCTGTCTTTTTGGAAGGTGGAAGACCGTGAATATGTTGGACGCATCATATATGGCGTAGTCATTAATTCGTATTTTCTCTTACGAGTGGAGATTTCACGAAGTGATTTTTCTTTTTTTTTTGGGGGGGGGGGGCTCATTATAATGTATCAGTAAAATTCGGTTGAACTGACAGCGTTGCTACCGGAAGAGCTTCGCTGCTGCGTCATCCCACGATACATTAACTCGGATCCAGCTATAAGTAACATTTTGAAAGATTTGATTTGATTGGTTCATTCAATTTTCTTGTGCAATGCTTATTCTTGAGCTCGCGGAACGACCGTATTGTGCTTTAGACTAGTCAGTGTCGCAGGAAATGCTGCAAGTGGTGCATTCATACCATCAAAAACAGTTGTTTTTTTATATATAGTACCGTATCAGATGAAATTTTTCCAAAAGTACCCACACTTGTTGCTTCAAGGGTTCTCCATCCTACAGTAAAGTTTTGAATCGATTTAGTAATTGGTAATACAAAAAATCTCATCAAAAACAAGGCAAAATAGGATGTAAACCTCATATACGTAGGATTGATTTTTTTATTTCATAGTCCCATTTTAAGATGACAGGCTCATGAAAGACTGATCTTAAGATAGAGAGTAATGAATGTGAAAATGATGTAGCAGCTAAAGACTGTACATTTGTCAACAATTAAGCTTGTCAGGTTGTTCTTCTGCAAATCTTACCGATTTCGTGCAACAAATCGTGGACTTACTGAACTGGTTGGTTTATAAAACACTTATCAGTAAAGCGGAACTTTCTCTGATCATGACTTGAGCTTTAATTAGGTCGTTCGCTGCGCAGAACTTCCTAACAGTAATTTGTATTCAACGCCAAGACAGGTGTATAGGACATGGTTTGCGCTTAACGATTGTAACTCCCCATCTGAGCCAGAGTTTGCATGCTCGCTGTAACATTTTCTTACGTATTGTAGTCCAATTCTACGATTAACTGCTAGGCCCGAGATTGGATGATGTGACCCGGTGCAGATTGGTTCTGATAGTGAGGTATATACCATTAATATAATGTTACGTGTATGTAAATACTAGAGGGTACGCCCCCTGGCTGCTACGTTGCCCAACCCTGGAGGGCTACCCCGGTAACTACTTTCCAAGATTCACTGCTTTCGGATGAGCGGAGCGCAGTAGATATAGTATAATTATACTACATACAATGGGAAACTTGGATATTTAATATACATTTTAAGAAGTTTTAAATGTCCAGGAACGCATGTTATTCTTATTATCTGAGTAAGCACATATTCAAAATGGTTTGTCGCTAACCAAATTACAACCAGGATATTGTACATAGCTTTGGAAGAAAACAGAACTACACAAAACTCGTCAGAGAATTTTGGATGGCGATGGAAACTAATATATATTTAGAAATATTTGACATAAAATTGTAGAAGTGTCTTTAAGGTCGGCTGATGGGTCGACCATTGAGTGAGTAGGTATCATGATCATTCATTATACCAAGTTTCACGGTCAAAAGCTCAAGGAGTCTTCTAAGTCCTCCTGTGTCCCAGGACTTACCTTATTTTGATTTTTTGTAACGGAACTTAGCCCATTCTGAAACGAAAATTCAATGAAAATGTAAATTAGTTGTCATATTGTAAGGTACGTGAGAGAATACTTTTTTGGGTCCAAACAGAAATGCTTGGCAAAATGAGAGGAAACTGTATGAAATGCACTTCTAATTACTGAAGGAATCTGAGCCTGAGCCGGTGATATGGTTTGGAGCTGAACGACATTTTCACACTGCAGAATTTTATTTAAATTACTATTCATTTGCTAAATAGTGGTTGACAATTTTCATTTAAGGTACCTATTTCATGTATTGTGTTTGTGGTTTGACGACGAGTCTATGAGCTTGTCAATTCAAAACATGTTCCCGTCAATAAATTAAAAATATTATAAACAAAATAATAAGCACAAGCTTCAATTTATTTAAATACAGCTACTCCTTTACAATGTTGAATTGCAAATTCAGCTCTGATGCTTTTATTCTAGGCTTTCACATCCCTGAAAAGCAAGACATTTTAGTCAATAAATTTATACTTCAAATTTAATATCGATTACAGTCATTATTTTTGGTCGGTGTTTCAAAAGCTCCCAGGAGATAGCATTGCGTAAAAATTTGAATGTGATTGTATGTGTGAAAAGGGAGTTTATCTCCCGGAAGAAAATTTGTTTCAACTTTTTTCAAACATACACCAAGTTTTTCACAACCGAATAATTTTTTTTTGTGGAATTTTAAGTTTTTTTTCTCCTCCAACTTTTAAGCGCTCAGGGTCAAACTTGCGCAAAAATTTCCAGATTTTTCCCCTTCATGCTTTAGCAAAAAGTTGAGGGAAATTGCCTCCCGGAATATGAGATCTCTTTTCACAGATCCGGTCCGAAATAAACTAAAAATATTATGTTAATCAGACCTCCGAGTATTTGCATGCATATACCTCGTACATACTACACGCAAACCGGACTAAAAATAACAAGTTGAGAGGTCAGAGAACCGATAGTAATGTTTATAGTCTTTGTTGATCAATTCTAAAGCTACCTTTTATCATTTGTTCATTTTGAGTCAATTGATGGCACAAAGATCGGTTGTTGACAGGGGGTTGCTCTCCACCGTATTCTTTTGGCAAAACTTTTGGCTCTACAAAAGCGTGGAGCGACTTGAAATTCTTTCCGTGAATTTTAATCTGAAAAAATCAACAAAATAACATTCGTGGCTAACGATACTCTAATGGTATTTTTATTACAAAGTTCCTTCCATTAGGGACTATAGATTAACTTTTCTGACGTTTACATAGAGGTCCAGTGGCGCAAACTATTTACGGCTCCCCGGCTGCATCGTCAACCTTGAGGTATACTTCTTGAGAATGTCTCAGTTTTCCCTTTTAACCTCACTAAAAAAAGAAGAATCTTTCCTTTGCCGCCGTTAAGTATTTTTTCTTAAATCAAGAATTTTTCTGCTTAATATCCCTGGTGAAAATTGGCAGTAGAATCTGTGTTCCAAAAGACCATAGACCTACAGCCGGCTGTAAGATTTCCAATAGCTTCTATAGCCGGCTACACAATTTCTTATAGCCTTTTATAGCCGATGGCAACCAAGCAACAGCCAGACGATAAAGTTTATGCTAAACGTTACTAAATACGGATACTAGGACTTAGTTAGTTTTTGGACTATCGCTCTCTTTTTGTGCCGTAGTATCTTGATTTATTTTGCAAGGAAAGCTCCGTACTTTTGAAGGATGCCTGTCATTCTTAATATGTTGGAGAGCCTTCAATTTCTTATGATACTGTGCAATACCTCTGGTGTGAAACGGTTGCTTCAGACGCCGTGGCACGCTGCGGCGCGGCAGGCGGGCAGCCAGCGCTGAACGCGCATTGGCGCCTACAAACCTAAGAGGGATACTTCACGCGTTGCGCAATGCGTGAAGTATCCCTGTTAGGTTTGTAGGCGCCAGTGCGTCGCCGCTCCTTTGTGTTAGGCTCTAATATTTAATCCGGTGGAGTCAGCGTTATTCAACTCATGATTTTGAAATGTTTGCACATCCTGTCTGGATTATTCTCGTTTTAATTGATGAAATTAAAATATGTAGTAAAGGAAAATATAACGTGTGTTTTGTAAATATTAAGGTGATTCCGTATCAAACTTAAAGATTTCCAAAGCACACGAATTTCTACACAATTTCTTATAGCCTTTTATAATCGATGGAGAAAAAGCAAAAGCCAGGCGATAAAGTGTAATGCCCGGCGATAGGAACTATAGCCCGGCTGCATAATTTTTTATCGCTTCGTATAGCCCGGCCGTATGATTTTCTCCGCATTCTACAGCCAGCTATATGATTTTCTGTAGCCTTCTTTAGCCGGCTATAAGAATTCTTATGTTATTTTGAAACGAAGCTCTTATCGCCAATTTTTATCAGGGATAAACGACTTTTTTGCTTAACCGAAGCATTATTTTTCTTGTATCAAGAGAAATCTAGCTTAAATCAAGATAAAAAAAAAATCTTGGCGGCAAATTCAAGAATCATCATGCTTGAGCCAAGCACATTTTTTTTTTCAGTGATAGTGTTCGCTCTTGTCACTTGTCTTGTATTTAGTAGCTAGTATTTATATTCATTTTGAGGCTCCACGATCTTGTATTTATATATTTACTTGAGGTAAGAAAAATAAACAAAAATATAAGCTGATCATTTATTTTATACTCACTCGTTTCCGTAATTTTTCCTTCAGGAACGGTTTGAAACAATTGTACAACGCCTCGAAGAAGAATGGAGTGTTGACGATGTGAATTGCTCGAGTTCGAACAGGAAATGTGTCCTGCAAAAAAGTTAAAATTTTCAAAAGATAAAAATTGTATTTGCTGTTAAATGAATACAATTATTAATCAACGAGTTTGTTAGAGTGTGTTCTGCCACAAGGGGATTCTTTTTTCCAGTTTACTCGCCATTGCTCATGAAAATAGAATTCTACCGAAGGCCCTCCACGCAACTTACTTCCGTTGGCTCACGCAGTGCACGGGTAGAAAAATTTGAGGATCGAAAAACTTTTTCCTCGTAAGGGGTCTTAAGAGTTGAATTATTTGAACTTTAGAGGGAATTATTTGAAGACTACGTAAAGTCGTCCTTCACATTATTCCCCATTGGCATGAGTTGCTTAAATTTAGCTCCCATTGGCATTGCCTACTGTTGCCTTATGTCACTGGAGAATAAATACTCAAAATAAGTTCTCTAAAACACAAATCTTAGCGGTTTTTTTTGTAGAAATACCGTTTCAAAATTTACGAGGTTTAAAAAAAAATGTTTGTCGTTCTTTGACGGTGGGGTCACATCGCGTGGTGCGCACTCGTATGCCAATGTGCTAAATATATTTGTATGATTATATTTGCACGATCTCTTCAAAATTAAGGAATTTAGGGAAAAAATACGGTGAATCCAACAGGTGTTGTGCAAACTACACAAGCCCTAAATCTTTCCGTGTGGCCTTGGGATGCGAACTTCCGCTATAAATTTGACTCCGAACTTTCCAGCCCGAAATATTTGTTTGAGTGACAATACGAGATCTCAGTTTTTGATCAAGCAAATTGGACTACATTTTGCAAATTTGTAACTAGGAGTTCTGCCTCATCTGTAAAAACACGTATGTACATAGGTATAATAGTGGTGCCTACATTGTTTCTAAACTGAGCCAGAAATTGCAGTTCCTAACTGCAAAATGTGGTCCAATTAGCGCTTGCATAGTTCGAAAAACGCCGGCTGAAACTTTTCAGTTCTCTGTTCTATCTGTAAATCTTTTGTATCCACCCGTGCTCTGTAATGGAGATGTTGCATGTGTGAGGAATTTTCAATTTGACTGTGGGTTCGTATGTAAAAGTTCGCGAGAAACACGATGCTGCCACTGGTCTTTTCTGAAATCAACTCCCAAGCTCAAAAAAAGCTCTCAAGTTGAGGTAAAACTGGAGGGGATATCCCACGCTATCCTGAGAGTCCACCTCTACATTGAGACAAACTCTTCATGCAAAGATAGGGAACAAATACATTAGCAGGGTTTTGAGCTTAGGAGCTTAGGAGTTGATTTCAGAGAAAACCAGTGGCACCATCGTGTTTCTCGCTAACTTTTATGTATGAAGCAACAGTCAAATCGCAAATTCCTCACAAATGCAACATCTCCATTGCACTATGATATGTAAGTTTTAAAGTCAAAGTATCAAAAAAATCACCTGTAAAGCGTTTAGAACAACGTAAACATTACGTGGAGTAATCAGTCTCATATGGCTCAGAGTGAATCCGGCTAAATCTATGAGTAAAATCAGTCCCGCAACCTGCGTCTTGGGATCTTCCGTAAGGAACTGCACGCTAGTCGCTAAAGCGGACACTATTTGCTCTGGCTCCAAGATGCTAGGATCCATGTTACCTGTAAAATATTCGGGGAACGTTCCGACGGTATAATAAAATCAACACGTTAAATATATGAGTATTTCCGTTACAATAATAGGTCCTTTATACGCACAAAATACAACCGGAAAGTTTCAGATAAAAACTTCGGAAATAAAATTTTATACAGGGGAAATAGCACAAAAATCACAATGGTCAATTTATAAAAGTTCGTAATCTACCCTTTGAGACGCAATTTGCGTATTTTGAAATGCCATCTTTTGAATTCCCCGCGTTTGCAGCCATGGTTTTCTAGCCAACCAAAACGAGCAAAGTAGACGTAAAAATCAGCGTTTTTTGTGAGATATTGAGTTTGAAGGTTAGAAAAGGTCAGAAAGAAGTCAGATATAGACGATGTAAGTCGGCAATCACATATATAACTCGGTTTGTCGTCACAGACTTCCTGTCGTACTATATTTTTTCAATTAAAAACTACTCAACAGCAATTCTTTAAAACTGCCGTGATTTTTCTTCTCTGTGCGAAGAAAATTCTGCATCAACTTCAAGGAATGATTTCAATTTGTTCTCTTTTAAAAAATAATATCGAGGCGGAGATTTTCAGACACCGCAAACGAGATATGTGATCGCGAACTTAGGCTGATCATATAGTACTCTAAATTTGAAAATAAAGACATTTTGGAGACCTAAAATTGTTGGTACCACATCATTACCGAATATGTAAGTGAGGTGAGAAGAAATAGTGATCAAACTTAGATGAAATGACTAATAATAACGAAAATCAACACAGACTAGATGAAAATGGGAGACCGTTAAAAGTTGAAAATGTTGCATTATAGCTATTGCAGTGAGAGTAGAGTGCAGACAGGCTTAGCAGGATCATCATTTTGTGAGTGAAAGACTTGAAGGAAAAATATTGAAACAAATAGACGGGTGTCAGTTCGAACGCGAAATAACACATTGCGATACGCGCTGCTTCGAGGAATTTTTAATATGAGGTTGATGATCATCGGGATAGTAGTGTATAAAATAATATTGAAAGAAGTTTAGCAAAACATACTGCCATCGATTAATCATTGAGATAGTATGAAATGTCGATCGCGAGATCTGTGATTCATAAAATAGTTCTGTCTGCAAAGAGCTTTAATTAATGGATTTGGTGCACAAAAGAAAGCCGCAAAAGTGCATGGTTGCCAGTTTCAGCGGGTAGATTTGTTTTTGGCGCATGATTTGCATAATGTGTGGATACTGCACTCACGTCGGCCTGCCTCACGGTTGACCGAATGGTTGTATTTCAGCGTGATGCCTCTATTTTAACATGGGCGGACTGACATTAAAAAAGGAAGCTACTATGATTTTAGTGTCCCTCTGAGAAGATTATTCCCCAGTTAGATGGAGAGGAGGGGGAGTTCGGAGGTCCTTCCACTTAAATTTTTTGAAAATTAGGTACCCCGAGGACTCAATTTTTGGTTGCTTCCATGATGAAGTATCACCCTTTCCCCTTACAATTTTTGTTGTTCCGGGGGGAGGAAATCTCGTTATCATCCTCGAATTAGTTCCATGTAAAAGGGAAAAGTAACTTCCCTGTCAAACAGTCAAAAAGAGTCAAAAGACATTGCGCACAAATTTCTTCCAACACTTGTTACCGACATCATCAATGCATTCTCGAGAAAAAGTAAAATTTTGGGGAGAGGACACCCTCTTTCTCTCCACTGTCTAAATGTTAGCTTTGAGAGGCCTCAGGGTCCCGGTACCCCCCCACCCCTCTGTATATAGCTAAATTTTCTCCATTCGAGACTGTATCATATAGCCACGCTCATGCGTTTGAAGACCATTACCTATCAAACCTTCATTATACCGATTCGCATTCCTGCGATTAATCGAAACAGCATGTAAACCGCTTGCAAAATGCTAGGATATTGCTAGTTGCCTGCGACATATCGATATATATTGATAGTTAAAAGCAGTGCCTTTAACTTTGTTTTTAGACTTCGGAAGATGATTCTCGTCACGAACTCATTGATTCCAGCGATCAAAATTTCGTTTCTCCAAAATTAATTCACCAAAAGTTTGACATTTAAAATACATCGATCCCACTGAAACTGCACTGCGCAAAAGTTGAAGATCAATCTTAAAAATGAAAGTTAGAAATTTTACTTGCATGGTCAATTTCGCGTTCAATCTTGCAACTCAGACCGGGCAAAAAGTGGGAGTGGACTAAGTTTCGGGGACGAACGATGCAGTGGCGAAGGGCGAATGATCAATTATCGATATTTCCCCATTTGAAACTATAGTAAAGAATCGATTATTACGGTGTTCGTTGCGAACACCCTATTTATCGATCCTTTTCTATAGATTTAAATGGCAGCTCAGTCGATTTATCGCAAAGCACGCATCGCGAGACCTGGAAATTGCGGGGGAGGGGACAACATGAATGAGCCATGAGCGACAAAGAAAGAAAGAAAGGTGAAGAGTGTGCGTCGAAGGCGATGAAAATTTGAATAATGGGACGCACTGTGCTCAAATGCAGTTATGTCAATGACACTGGGCACTAACAATCGATCAGTCGTCGCGTCGTCGACAATGATAGTATCATCATTAGCATCTGATTACTGATTCCCATGCAGCCTGCCCGGACTGACGGCTCGCTAGGTCAACGACGACTGCACTGCCAACTAGCTGAATTTTGCGGAAATCCATTTTGCAATTGCAGCGGAGTGAGGCGTGAATGATCGATTATCGATATTTCCCCATTTGAAGCTATGGTAAAGAATTGATTATTAAGGTATACGCTGTTTATCGATCCTTTTTCATACGTTTAAACTGCAGATCAATCGATATATCGCAAAGCACGCCATGCCACTGAAGTGCAGTCGTCTAATTTGCCGCGCCAAGGAAAAGTGTCGTACGAATATTCCAAGGTTACCAAAAGAGGGTTATCGAAAGTGGCCGCTTCTGCGCTCACCATGAATTTCCTCAACTCTATGATCTTTTGCTCATTGTAGGCTCATCTTACGGAACGCATTATGATTTGGTCATTTTTGGTCTCTTTTCGGGTCTAATATTAGCCTAAAAGTGGAGAAATGGTGCAAGATCTACACTATTTCGCGGGGAAAACAAAGCCAGGAAGTTCCAAAAATTATAATTAGAGTCAAAAATAAATTTCTTTTAACTCTAATGAGTAAGTCTATGAGTCTAACCAGTACAAAACTGATGGGGGAGAGTGTTCAGCTCGGGCAGTTTGCATTGGAATATTAAGTTAGAGCCACGCCAAGAGATCTATACCGGTTTGGGTCTTTTTAGACCTCATCAGCAGATCACGCTTCGTCAGTGAACGCAACTTAGGTAACATGCCGCAAAATTCAAGACGGCATTAAAACGCCGTCATGTTTCTCCACCTTATTACATACAGTTTGGGCCACTTCTTAGTGTTTTTTTCTCTCTCAATTATTAGCCTAAATATGAAAGCCTGACAACTGAGTTTGGCGAAAATTACAAGTTTTACGGGTTTGCATTCGAATCTGCGAAAAAAACCTCATCAAACATTGGCTTCGGCTCCAATTTCAGAATTTGATCAAAATTAGACCACATCTTGCAATTAGGACCTACGATTTCTAGCTCAGTTAAGAAACAACGTATATGCCTACAGTTTCCTTATGCACATAAGTGTTTTTACAGATGAGCCAGAAATTTTAGTTCTAAATTGCAAAATGCAGTCCAATTAGTAACCCGCCTTCCCCTCTCCCTCCGCCCTTTTAATCGTCAGATTCGTCCGATTTTTCGATGGATCTCATCCAATGTAACGATTATTTGATGTACAATTCATGATAATTGTGCATTCAGGATCTTAGAATCGTTTAAAATACTGTTGTATGCTGCATATTTTTACAGAGAATTCTTTCTTGCAAGAGAAACGAATTATTTTGTCTAAAATTAGGGTAAAAAATCAAAATTTCAATCTAAGTAAAAATATTTGACCATTTGCCTAGGAATTTGACAAAATGCCTGAATTGGCTAATTGCCTTCGACATTGATTACGCGAAAAATGCTAGCTGTCGGTTATTCTCCAAAAACATGTCGCATTTTGATGAACCCGAGGACTCAAGAGTACATGACACAAGTGAATGGGTTAGACGTAGTATTCCGTGCGTCAAAACACTAGAACGTCGCAAATTTTAGGCTCACGTGTTTTTGATTTGCACTTTTAGACACAGGACATAAAAGTTTTCTTCGACGTAGTTAGCATACATGTATTATTGTCTTGATGGCGCAGCTCTCTCACTGTCATCCACTAAAATTATTCCATACGGATGAACTGATGCGTAATGTATAAAAAGAAGAGGCATATGTAGGTCACATCGAAGACTCTCGTCGCTTTAGAAAGCAAAGTTGAAATTGCGACTGAATATTTTACAATTTTAACCTCACGAAATGAAAAACAGTGACCCCCAAAATATCGGCCTCGATATCCTCAAAACTGTTCTTGTTTTCAATTACCCCTTTCACTTTTCTCCTACGCTTCGAGTGACTATTTTAGACGATACAGTTAATCATCAAACTCTCTGTTCAACGGACTCAATTCGACAAATTGCTCGGCAAAAACATCACCGAAAATAAGTGATGTCGATTTAACATTCTGGATGTAAAAAAGTGTGTGCGAGAACTTTCAAAATGTTTAATAACCCCCTACAGCAGTTAGTATTACATCTTGACATTGCTAAAGTAACTGCCGTACGGGTTAATTCAGCATTTTGAAAGTTCTCGCACACTTTTTTTACATTTAGAATGATTAATCAACATAACTTTTTCTCGGTGAATCCAAACTGTCAGTAATTGTCACTTGTCAACCGAGGCTCAATTTTGCGGAAAAGGGGAGGAGAGGAACTGAATTCACTGTTTACATACAAAAATGTATTCCAAGTTCACCTCTTGGCAAGATTTTGCATCTACTTTTCTCTAAAATCGTCGCTCCTCTGACGTAAGGGCGTATTTCAATTTCTACGTGAGCCCTGTTCTTCATATAACCCCATGCTTTTCAGGGCTCACGTGAAAATTGAGATACGCCCTTACGTCAGAGGAGCGACGAAATTTGCGCGTCAAATTCCTTCAGAAATCAAACAAAACAAAATTACTGTACTTCAAATTACGCACAAGGACATGATAGTCACACCTTTCAGTATCACTGTAATATGGACGGGACGCTTAGCGCATACTGCTGACGATAACACCTGGAAGCAACCAGTGGCGTAGCGTGCTTTGCGATATATCGATTGATCTGACCTTTAAACCTATGGAAAAGGATCGATAAACAAGGTGTTCGCAACGAACACCTTGATAATCGATTCTTTACTACAGCTTTAAATGGGGAAATATCGATAATCGATCATTCACGACACGCCACTGGAAGCAACTATTCGTGTTCTGGGGATGTTCGTGTTGCGTATAGAGAATTTGAAGGCTCTCCAGTTTTTCTTACCGGCCTGATCTGCTTCAGCCGCTCGGACGGTTGTTTAGATGGAATAACTTCCAGAGAGGGGAGGGGCAGGGGGCCTTCCAGAGGGCCTCGGGGCGTCAGCTGGAATGTTCGTCTCAATATGTGTGTGGAATACAACAAATAGTAAGCATGACTGAAGCGGAATCAGGTACTTATAGGTGTATATCACACACAATTTATCAGGTAACGGGTTAACATTGCCTTTATTTCAACCTCTGATATCGCTACTTGGTGTTTTTTCTTTTTTCTCATGTTCGTTTTTTTATTTTTTATTTTTACTTGATGTGAATCTACAACATGACTACTTGTTCAAAAAATTGGTCATTATAGTTGCACTTGTAAGAGTTGAACAGAAAACTGAGCCTACAATAATTACGGACACGATTCGAGAAGATTAGTTGCATTGTTTAAACAGGATTTGCGGTCACACTGGACGCCGCGGACTTTATGGTCCTCGAAACGGAAAAGTATGACGGAAATTTGGACTACATTTTGCAATTTGGAACTATAAATTCTAGCCCGGTTTGAAAACAACGTATGTGCCATTAGGTTCCCTATGCACATAAGTGTTTTTCCAGAAGAGCCAGAATTTATAGTTCCAAATTGCAAAATGCAGTCCATTTATTCATCTATAAATCTAGTATCTTTATAAGAGTGTAAATAAACCATAACTTATCGGAAGACTTATTATGAACACCAGCGCCTAACTGACAGTAAGAAAGTTAATTAAAGCTTCATAATTACTCTATGAAATTGCATTATAAAGAGATCGAATGCAAAAAACGACGGACTTGCAGAAGAAAATTAGTAAGAGTGTGAGATTGAAGAGGAGGAAGAGAGAAAGAGATTTTAAAGGAGGAGGTTAAGATAAAAGCGAAACTAGGAAAACGAAATATCAATACGTAGGGAGGGAAGGAGGAGCAATGTAAAGGTCAGGTATATTCCATCGTAGAAAGGTCGTTGACATAGATTTCAAACAGAGGCAAGCCTTATCATACGAATAACAAAATTGAAATAGTAAATCCTTGGGTAGACAAGTTTGTGGATGTTGGTTATCTGTGCAGTGTGCATGCTGCTTTAATGCCGTAATAGTAACACTTTAAAATTAGAGACGCATTTTAGAGTTAATTATCATGCGTTGGATAGGGTGCCAATCGGAGAAAGGGCGAAACTTTAAAGAAAACTTTATGGTTTTCTTTCTTCCCTTCAAACTTTGACAAAGTCATATGTTACCCAAAATGTTTACGTCGTTACCATCAAATTAGGAACAATACATTTTTAGCAAAATGAGAAAGAATGTTGCACCATTTTTACACTTAACGAGTAATTATTTCACTGTAAGAATGTTAAAAATATAGAGAAAAGAAAACTGCGAAAATGCTGGATCTAAGATACACAGCGATCATGAAGCTGTGAAAAGAGGAACATTTCGGACACAAAAGTAGCAATCATTTGTACCTATGATTTAAGACAAGTTCACCCCCGCCCTTGGCGTATAGAATATGACTCGCACTTTGCACAGCATTTTACAGAATTTAAATATAACCTTACCGCCTTTGAGTATTAAAATTGACCTTCCTTCAGAATCTCTGTTCTCCAGGATGGTGTGTGTCACTTTACTGTAAACAAACCATTTTTCAGATGGTAGAGTTGTTTCATAATACTTCGGGTATTTCAATCGCATTTCATAGTACTGTAAAACCTATAGAGAACAAAACAAAGCATGATTAAATGATAAAATTTCATAAAAATTATGCAGGGCTAAAAAATAAGATACCTACTTGAGACGAAGTCATATCCCCTGAAGTCGACAAAAAATGCAATTAACCGAAGGATCCGGTCTATAAACATCCTGGGAGTAATTTTACGTAGAAGCATTCGAAAAGAAATTTGCATTTTGCATGGAAATTTCTTTGAAAAATTAAACGGCGCTTAATAGCCTAGGGTGACTATAACTGAAGTCTGGCAACTACTATCTTGCCTATTTTACATTGGCGTTACTCGAATTAACCAATACCTCAGTTTTTTCCCAAAAAATGTCACGAGACTCGAGTATGCACTGCATCGTTGGATTAAAAAATACTCTATAGAGTAATACATATCGACGGCGTAAGTCCGCAATCACATATCTCGTTTGCGGTGTCTGAAAATGTCCGCTTCCTTGTTAATTTTTTAAAAGGAGAACAAATTGACATCATTCCTTGAAGTTTATGCAGAATTTTCTTCGCACAGAGAAGAAAAATCACGGCGGTTTTAAAGACTTTCCGTTGAGTGGTTTTTCGTTTAAAAAATAAAGTATGGCGAGAAGTCTACGACGTCGCAAACCGAGTTATGTGATTGCCGACTTGCACCTTTGATATGTATTCTATAACATTTAGCATGATTTTTGAACTCCATTGGAGGAAAAAATGACTTGATTCAAGCAGAAATATGCTCAAATATACCGCCGAGAAGATTTCCTTATGAATCAATAAAGAAAATAATGCTCAAGTATAGAAGAAAATATGCTTATATAAAAAGAAAAGTCACTCCCATCAAGTGGAAACCCGCTTCAACTCAGTTATTTTATTCTTGATTCAAAATAAAATCTTCTTGACATCATACTCAAGAATGTTCCTGCTTAAATCGAGTCACTTTTTTTTCTACGATGGAATTCAAAAGTTATGCTAAACGTTTTTTAATACGAATGCTAGGACTTGGTGAGTCTTTGGACTACCGCTCTCTTCTTGTGCCGTAGTATCTTGATTTATTTTGCGAGGATCGATCCGTACTCTTAAAGGATGCCTGTCATTCTGGATACGTTGGAGCGCCTTCAATTTCGTATGATACTGTGCAACACTTCTGTTGCAAAATAGTTGCTTGAAGCGCCGTGGCGCGGCGGCGGGCGAGGGCGACCAGCGCATTAGCGCCACCAAACCTAACTAGGATACTTCACGCATTGCGCAATGCGTGAAGTATCCTAGTTAGGTTTGTAGGTGCTAATGCGCATGTCGCGCTGGCATGGCAGTACGCCAGCCGCTCCGCTCTACGTTAGGCGCTAATATTTTAAACTCGTGGAGTCAGCATTTTTCAACTCATTATTTTGAAATTTTTGCACACTTTGCATGGATTATTCTCATTTAAAATGTAAAATTTTACGTGGAAGCATTTGAAAAGCAATTTGCATGGACATTTCCTTGAAAAATTAAACTATAACTGAAGTCTGACAGCTATACTATCTTACCTATTTTAGACTGGCGTTTAGACCGCAGTTTTTTCCCCAAATATGTCACGAGACCCCCATTTGACCCGGGCCTCGACCCTATTATTATGGTGTCAGTGACTTCATTTACTTTGTAAAATTACCCGTTTGATGCAGGTTCTATTAAAAGCAGTTCATTTCCTTTTTTTGCGATCATTAAATGTAATACGTGCATGCCTAGTTCAAATAATTGCATTCTTTTTTTTATGAAAAAGGTTGTTCGTCTCCATTCTGGAATGAAATTTGGTTGCCTCAGGAGTAGTAGTATTTCCTTTAATTACCAATTCCAATATCATTTCAGAGTAATCATCTTGTACTTCGATGAAAGTATCATGATTTAAAGCTACTTCGGTTGGGTGACTTGATTTGTCAGCAACTAGAGAGAAACCATACGACTCAAAGTCATGGATATATAGTCTCCTTATGTTTTGATCTAATCACAAAGCACGTGTAAAGTTTCGCAGGTACAATTATGCTCTTTGCAGTTTACACGTAACTCCCTTCAATTTGTTTGCAAGCCACACATTATACATTCAAGTAATGACAGTCTGCAAATTCATGAAGAATAATCTCTTTATCGTTGTCAAATCTTGTCTCAAATATTGTGACCAATTCGTCGCACAGTGGCGCTGGCTTAACCAAAAAGTTTTCTTAGGAAGGGGGATCTAACTATAATAAAATCCCTGAAAAACACGAGGAATTACGTTGTTTGTGACAATTTTCTGGAGGAGGCCCAGCCCGCCAGCTACGCTTCCGCAATTGCTGGCATGAAAGTAATCTTGAAAAGTTGTTGTGCTCATCCTTTTATTCATAGAAAAGTTCAATCGTTGAGCGTTCTATTTATGATACAAACGCGATTTGGCGGAGTTCGTGTGTTTTCACTGCACTTAATGTGTGTGATTTTTAATGTCAACTGCAACTGCTCTGGTTAGATGTTTTCAAAAGTATGCAGATAGGATGTCAAATTGCATGGAAATTACAGATGATAATTAAACAAGAGAATACTTTTCAAACTCTTAAAAACGCTGAGATTTATCTGAAACTAGTGAGCCTGGAGTCACACTGAGGCTGTGCATGATGCGAGTACCTACCATAAGTGTATATTGTTTGCATGATTTATTTTAAAAGATAATCAGAAATAGATAGGCAAATTGATGAAAGAATAAATTAATAGATCGAAGCATTGTAAAAAAAAAGATACGATACCATTTTAAGCGCTTTCTCAACATCGTGTTTCCTTGCACGCAGAAATGAAAGGAGAAATGGATCATCTGTCCTCGGATTTAGATCAGGCACGCCTAGAACGTGGAGAAAAAAAATTACGCTTTAAATCGGTTCATGCTGTTTATTTTTCCTGCTGAACCTATAAATACAGTGAGAAAGTAATGCTTTGTTTTTATTTAAAAAAATAAAAATGGACTGCATTCGAATCTGTGAGAATGAAAACACACCGACTCAGAAACTTAGAAATGCCCAAACATTAAAGATGTCTAATATTCATAATAATATAAGCCATTGAAAATGGCCCATCTGTATCGACTTGCACCCTTAAAACTCTCCAAAGTAGTTGGGGCCCCTCTGTTCTTTCCCAGGTCTCATGTATTTATTTGGATACTGTAATTATGAGGTCTTGGGGGTTCCTCCTTTGCTTTTGAAGCCTTCAGGCCCCCTTTAATACTACTAAATGTTTTAATTATGAGTCCCCATGGACCCGAATTTAAAATTAGCAAACCTTGTTTCCTTCGTGGCATTAATTGGACGCATGTTTGCCAAACGGAACTATGTGTATTAAGACATGAGCCCTGAGACCCATAAGAATATGTGCATAACAGGGCTTACATCATAATGTACATAGTTCCGTTTGATAGAAATACATCCAATTGATTAATGCTCTACTCCCATTGTCGCTCACTCGTTAAGCCAGTTATCCTTCAATATCTCGATAGGCAACATGGGCAGCTTGGAAACGGTAATAGTTGGCACATCCACTCGGCTTGTTCCTAGCGTTTCAAATTCTGGACGTGTGTATAAATCCGAATTCACAGAACGGGCAAATTTTAGAATCTGCTGATTGAACCATAGAGAACTAATTGTTCTTATATTTACTAGGAGCAAGAGAATAAAAATTCAATACGTACTCTGAAGCAATATCCTTAGTTTGTCAAGGTTAGATCTAGCCTGAGCACAATTTTCGCAAACTTCAACTTCTGCTTTCTTTAACCATTCATCGTTTAAGTCAAATGGGTCATTTCGTGGCACGCAGACAAACCCCTGCTTGTCCGGCATTGAAAAATGTATGACTTTGTCCACGGTTCCAACTAAGACTCTGGGCACAAACTGCAAATTGATAAATATTAGTCAAAATAGTTAGCTTGGCCGCTAAGAAATGTATCCAGGGGGGTTTGAATTCCCTCTTATACGCCGATCACTTTCCAAAAAAAGAAAGGTGGGCCAGTTTCCAGGCTTTTTTGCTTTCGGATCGACCCTCCGAAAAATATTTTCGATCATGATTTCCGATTCCACTCCCACAAGTGTTAACGAAAATTCGAGTACAATACTGCCGGAACAAAGGAAACCTCCATCAAAGCATTCAAGAGTTACCAAATTTCTCTGTAATAATCTGTGTATTCTCTGTATTCTCTGTGTAACTCTGTAATTTCTCTTTTTGAGGAAAGTTATGCTTATTTTTCCTTCCAATTTTCAGATATTTCAGATCAAATTGCGAACAAAACTGTCTAAAAAATTTGAAACAACGTATTCACAATTTTCCCAGTAAATTCGTTTTATATTGATGGATATATTGCAACGTCTGAAGGCTCATACGCCGTTCATCTACAGCACGGTAGGATACGACTGTGGTCGAAATGCTTTCACATTCTGAAGACCTCTGAAACCTGGTTGAAAGAAAAAAACCTAAAGAAAGTAAACACTTTTACTTTTCTTCTGGACTTTATGCGGAACAATCCTAAAAATAGAGAGGAAATTTAGGATACAATTATAAAGAATTTGTAGCACATACCAGAGCAAGATCCAGACGCACGTTTTTCACGAACTAAACTTTAAAAATAATAATTATTGTAAGTAGCAAACTCGGCAGTTATCGAGGCATTCAGGAAGGTTTGATAACTTCTGCCTCCTCTAATCACAACTGATCGGTAAAAAGTAGGTCGATTTAAAACTCTAAGATAATTAACCTGTCATTTTTATTCTCTATGATTCAGTTGGATGTATTTATGCTAAAAGGAAGTATGTTCCACACACACCCTATGCACATAGCTCCTTTTAGCATAAATGCGTCCAGTTGAGAGAGGACGCGTGAATTGTGATTAGCAGATCATCTCACAAAACAATTGGATGAATAATGGAATCAGAGCTCTCTTTTAGAAGTCGTTCACCTGATTGTCTCAAATGGATTGCGAGTCTATCGGAGCACTTCACGCAGCTGCTTCACTAGACAAACTATTCGTCGTTTTCCTTACGAAAGAACGTAACTACAATTCAATGTTGCCAAATTTCCACAGGCAAATATAATTTTTACTGGGAGAATCTCGGAAATTTCCGACTGAAAATTTCACTAATTTTTCTCCTGATCCCATGCAAAAATAAAAAAGAATGTTCAATGAGAATTGCGTAAGTACATTCTTGTAAAAAATTAATTTGATTGTGTTAATTTTTCAACCTTAGAATGGAGTTATGTTCCTTTGTGAGAGGAACGAACGATCGAAGGGAGAAGGAAAACATTGCTCATAACCGATAAGCGTATCATTGTGGGCTAGTCAGAAAATATCCAGCATTATGTCAGTGTCAATCTCAAACTTAACAGAAAATTTAGAGAGCCACGGTAAGAATATCGAAAGTTGATAAACTTTCAATTAGTATTCAGGACTATAAAGTGGGCAAAATTTTTTTCAGAATATCACACGCTTCATAAAATAAAGGGCGTGACGTGTAATGTATACATGTTTTTCCTTAAAATTTTCAGTTATTTTAGATTAAATTGCAAGCAAAATAGTCTGAAAAATTGGAAGACAAATATTTACAATTTCCCAAATAAATTCGTATTATATCAGAGGAAATTTGGCAACGCCTGGAGGTTCATACGGCGTTTTTCCTTAGCACGGCAGTATGCACTACCACGGTAGATGACGTCATACGCCGTGTTTTTCGATGGGCGATGTTCAATCTATTATATCTGTCTATAGATATAGGTTTTATTAGTAATTTTTTACCTATATTTTTCTGAAGAGCTGTGATATCACATGCCATAACGTTAAGAGATGTGGCAGAATATTGCAGGAAGTTCCGAGTGTCATAACGGTGTAGCTTTGAAACTAAATTGGACTTAATTTTGCAATTAGGAACTATAAATTCTGGCTCATTTGAAAAAGCACGTATGTGCATAAGGAAACTAATGGTTCATACGTTGTTTTTATACATGAGTCAGAATTTATAGTTCCTAATTGCAAAATGTAGTCCAATTATGACTCTCCGTCGAGACCCTACTTTCTTCTTACAGTGACTTAGGTATTACGAATGTCTAATTCTTCCGGGATCATGTTAACAATTTTTATCGTAAGGTTATCTTCGGGGTGTGTGTAGTATAACGCATCCTTCGTGAAACCGGAGCCCACCGTAATTTTTAATCTATAGATACCTACTGTAGTCATCTTTATAGTCCAATCTTTTGAAATTCATTAAGACAGTAAAATCACAGAACATGTGTACCTCGGTTCGCTATGCTGTAGGAAACTCTTATAATTTATTTACTTAATGAAATGACAATGCTATCATACGCCCAACTTTAATAAAAAATGGATATAATTGGACGTATGTCTATCAAACGGAACTATGTGCATAAAGACATGAGCCCTGACACTCTTAAGAATACATGCATAACAGGGCTCACGTCATAATGCACATAGTACTGATTGATAGAAATCAGGGCCGGATTAAGGGGGTGGCCACATGGGCTGCGACCTATGGCGGCAAAATTAGGGGGCGGCAAATTTTGCAATTTTTTTAAACGCAGGTACAAAAAAATCGGATTCAGAAAAAAATTACGAACAAGAAAAGGTGACAAAATCTCTCATTTCCTGAGAGTTCATTAATTTCTCATTTGTCGTATTTCGGTGATACAAAAGACTGCGCACCTTTAATTACTTGAGTTAAGAGAGAAACCAAACACGTAATTTGGCCTGGAGTGGCGCGGCGCAAAGAGACATGATGACGAGGACTTGAGATGAAAAAGAGAATCCCTCGACGCGGCGGTCGGCATGTAACACATATTAGCGCCTACGAGACTGCATGAATACTTCACGCATTGCGTCAAACACAGTACGGTCAACAGCGGTCGGCGCGGCGCGGCGTGAAACGCACAGTGCCTACAAGACTACATGAATACTTCACGCATTGCGTCAAACACAATGTGGTCCGCGCGGCACGGCGGCGGAAGTTAAAATTACGAGTATTAAACCACATTTTTGTTTGATTCGTCTTAATTTCTTAGTTCATTTCTTACAAATGAAAGGCCTTGTCCCCACAGAGATATGTTTACGGAACTGAACTTTCGCGCGAAGTTCCGTGAACTTTTGCTAGTAGTGTTGACAGGGCTCACGCAAAAAATGTGACCAACACGAGTGAACGCGTCTTATGCACCTTTCTCCCTCCGGCACGTTCACTTGATGGTTTTTATTGATGTTTCAAAATGAATGAGAAGGACGGCGGCAGTAGGTAAATCCAAAATAAATACAAAAAGGGGGGTACACAAAGGGGTAATCAGAAATACGTCCAATTAATCTTCATGCAATGGCTGTAATGTATTAGAGTTTAATCATGCTAAGTAGCTATGTACACGCTTCATATGGACTTACTTCCACAAAAAAAAAAGGAGAGCAACAAGTTTTAAAAGAGGGAACTTTGGAGGAAAATCGAACTACCAAAATGAATTTATTTGGGAAGCTCGAATTAATTAAAAGAAGTTATTTAATGTGACTTTTTGACGTATTTATGCTAAAAGGAACTATGTTATGTTGCACATAAACCCTAAGCACACAGTTCCTTCTGGCATATACACTCACGTTAAAATATAGAAACGACGTTTTGAAACTCTGTTGGCATGTTGCGCCCGGAGGCAACAATTCGTGTTCAGTTGTTGTCCGTGTTGAATAAACAAGAGATAAAGGCGTTTTAAACTTTCTTTGCCCGCGCAGCAAATACATGCCGTTACAGAGAATTGAGAAAGCACAAAGCAAAGTGGCAAGCGAATAAATGTATATCTTGTGTCACCGCAAGCAAATCGAGGATGGAGCTTCAAAAAAGTTTATTTCGAAAGCGGTGTTTCAACATTTCAACACTTTCATTATTATGGTAAGGTTAAAGTGACCTGTTTCAGACTTTAGCGGTTCAGCTACGGCAGTTCTGGCAGGTTGTTAATGAAATGTTGGGAAACGAGGGCATCTGACAAGTGGCTATGAAGGACTGCACACGGACAATTTGACAGATTTTACGATTTTTGGAATACGTATTTCAATTTTTCCCGCTTCCCGGTCCAAGAGACCTCCGCCAATCGCGTCCTTTCCCGCTTCCCGGTCCCAGAGACCTCCGCCAATCGCGTACTTTCCCGCGCTCAACGCTGATTGGCCGTTGCACCAAACGAGCGGCGCGCGGCGGGAAATCTACGTCGGCGGTGAAAATTAATGCAGCATTTTCCCGTACTTTTGGATGGGAGTTGTGTGATCTCTCCTAAAATTAACCGTTCCTATAGTTTTGGTAGACGCAACTTCGTATTCCGTGAACCTTGCGAAAATACGAGAAACATAGTGTAAGGCTTTCCACGACTGGGAATTGTTCACTTCGGACTTCGGACCAAATCCTTGAATCGCACATTTCTTTCGAACCCAATCCACAAGTCCGCTGAGCTACCGGTGTCTGAACCAAATCCAAGATTTCTCAGCCCACCTCCGGAGGAAGAGGTTGATAGGCGTAAAAGGTTACACTAAGAACATCAAAGAATAAACTATTTAGCGAAAAAAAAAAGCGTACAGTTTAGTTAATTTAGCATTTTTCTGGAGAAATCAATTGATATTTAGAGGGGTTCTTTGCGGAAAAATATTGCAATAGGCCACCAGAACAACTTAACAGAAGTCAACCGGAAATCTCTGTCCGCTGCGTCCGCCATCTTAAGCAAAGGCACACTGAAAAAAAAGGATTGCTAATTCACCGATTTAGGGTGGAGCAAAATTTGCTTCACTTCGTAAAGCTTTCTTATCCGTGTACGGTGTTGAATCAAGTAAACGACTAGCACGAATTGCTACACCGATTTGCTACATCTGCGCGCCTTCATGCAGTTATTAATCTTGCATCGGGTGGCTTGGAAGTGTAACTGCATTTTTTGGTATTGGTACTTTGCGAACAGTAAAAATAGCTCAATAGTTAAGCTGAAATAGCGGAATTTACGGTAAAATAGCGAAATTTACGGAAGAATGACTAAAAAGGTAACAGGACGTAGCTTTTCAGAGAGCAAAATCACCTACACGCGTGTGTGTAAGTTAGCTGAAATTTGTGTGGCGATTTTACCTGCATGGTTTGCACGTTCGTTTTTTAGCTACACCATGCCATGAAATACCCGCGTGCAAGGCAAATTCAGCAATATTTTCTTTTCAGTGCAGGCTGGATCGGAGCAAAATGCATATTAGCGCCTGCCTGCAAGGGTGTAATACTTCACGTATTGCGCCGGCATGGGCTAAATTTTTAGGGTCAAAATCGAAAGTTCTTCGCGATCGAGAAGAAACCAAGCTAGCCTGCTCGGAAATGACCCGCTGAGTCCGATTTTTTGGTCGAAAAAGCTCCTCGAGTTCGTTGGACCGCGCTATTGGCAAAAACACACTTTCAGAAAAACACTCGTTTTCGATGGTTTCTCGGCGGAGGGAGCCTTGTCACGCGTCGGGACCATGCGCAATCGATTCTGCGCATCGGACTACGTAGGATGCGACTACGAAAATCCGGCAATTTTTTCCCCAGTCCAGAATTGAAAAAAATCGACAGGGGACACAGCGCGGTCTCTGGTTGGCGCAAAACGCGTATTGGCGCCTACATGACTGCAGGAATACTTCACGCATCGCGCCTATATCTCGTAGACCGCGTTGATAAATCTGAATGTTGCAGTTTCAATTCTTCCGGGCCACTTCGTCATTTGTAAGGACGCGAAGATACCACTGACACTTCTAAAAAGTTTACTTTATGGTCTTCAGGGGAGGATGGGGGGCATCATCACTTCAAAGGCTCCAAGAACTCCCTGGGTATTCCTGTATATACTAAATTCTAAGTTTTAGGGGTCCTGTTAGGTCCCGGAGATACAAATGTTAAAATTTTGAGGTCCTAAAGAGATTAAAAAGAATTCAACGATGAAATTTAAAAGAAAAATAAANGTTTCAATTCTTCCGGGCCACTTCGTCATTTGTAAGGACGCGAAGATACCACTGACACTTCTAAAAAGTTTACTTTATGGTCTTCAGGGGAGGATGGGGGGCATCATCACTTCAAAGGCTCCAAGAACTCCCTGGGTATTCCTGTATATACTAAATTCTAAGTTTTAGGGGTCCTGTTAGGTCCCGGAGATACAAATTTTAAAATTTTGAGGTCCTAAAGAGATTAAAAAGAATTCAACGATATTAAAATTTAAAAGAAAAATAAAAAAAATATAGGGTAGAAAGTAATCATCTGGGGGAGGGGGCGTCGCATGGGCCCCTTTGGGACTCTACAGCAGATTCTTAGAGAATGATCGCCCTCTAGCCTCCTTAGCAAGTCTGCCCCCGCCTGTTGATGCATATTTTGAATACAGTGCAATTGAATCTAGTTGGTTCTGGAAGAACCAACTTGCTTTAATTGTAGTATGATCAGTAAGTGTATAAAAAATGTAAGTCATATGTTTGCAAAGTTGAGATTTTATCGACTTCAAGTAAAGTAATACATGAATTGATAGGTAAAATTGTTGGAAATTTTACACAAAATTAAGGAATGACGAATAAGTGGAAAGAAGAAGGCTTTGTGTAACATAATACAACTTTATTTACTCAGCAAGAATAAATAATAACATAAATGCATATACAATATGGTACACAAGGTTTAATAAATAATGTTTTTCACAATGATAAATGAAATTAATGAGATAAAAAAAAAGAAAGAAAAAGAAAATAAATGGATAGATAAAAACCAAATGAATTATAGGTACGGATTCAAAGATATAGTGCAAAAAACAGGATCTTGGAATAACAGTGAATCATTTTCTCTTAATGAGACAGAGAGGGGGGGGGAGGATGAAGCATTTAACAAATAAATTGATGTATTTCAAGTTGAACTTGTACAGTTTACTTCTTAGAGCGTTTTCAGTTGTAAGAACCTGTTGTACACAGAAAGAAAAAAAAAATTCTTTGAAATTTAAAAAAAAACCAAGAGGTTTTCTGAGATTTTTAAAATCTTTTTGGATTAAAAATTCTTGATACAGCTAAAGTTTATGGAAAGAACAGTTTCTTGGAGTGGTAGAACGAGCCTGGATACGCAATGTAGTTACTTTGCATGATTCATAATAAAAAAACTGTAGTGAAAAACAGGAAAAAATAAGTGAATGGTTTTGAGGAAAACAAAATTGAGCAGTCAAAATCACAATTAAAAATAAATAAACACCTACTACAAACTAAAAATGTCACCCCTGACACCATGCCACAGACCAGCTGGTAAAAATTGGAAAAAAATAATGGTAACAGAAACCCTGGAAATATGAATTGACTAGTTCTCAGCAAAAAGTAAAAAGACAGGGATAAGCAACAGGAAGACTGCATTTCTGAACATGTGTACCGTTCCTTCTTTGTTTTCTGTGTTTTCTCTTATAGAGCTTATCCCAGGAAAATTATTAGATCTATTGTCAACAAGACTCAGTATGTCAACCATAGTCAACAAGAAAGAAAAATTTGGATGTACATAAAATCAATAGAAATAGAGTTTCTTCCACCATTTGATATAATTTTTAAAACCAATACTGTGACTAAATTTTTTCAACTTGATTCTTATTATTGATATACGGTTTTTAGAGACTCAAATAAGCTGAAAATGGAGTTTTCCGGGAAATTATTTTGACCAGGAAAATATGACATAACTAAAAGAAACTAATTTCAAAAAATAATTTGATTGACAGCAATATAATGGAATTCATTATTGTAGCCATATAAATAAATGAATAAATGGATTACATTTTGCAATAAGGAGCCACCATTTCTGGCTTTCCCATAAAAGCACATACCTGCATCGGAACACGAATGACATGTATCTTATTTCTGAAATGGGCCAGAAATTGTGGTTGCTTATTGCAAAATGTAATCCAAATAGGGTAGGTTAACTTCAGAATGAGATAACTTGACTGAAACTTAAACTTACATACTTAGAACGAGGAAAGAAAATGCAGGCGAGGGGAGGGGAAAATTTTACAGCTTCATGATATTTACAAAATTAAATGAGGATCATTGAATAACATTGCATGACTAAATGCATACTAAAACTCGGACAAACGGAGCAAAATTGACACTACTGCACAAAAGGAACTACAATGATAACACTTATTAAAAACTGATCTTTGCACAAAAATAAAAGTAATCTGCTATAGTAAAATATGTATGAAAATAAAATTTATTTATAAAAAGAAATAATCTCCTTCTACCTTGAAAACTTACTAGGAATTTTGTTGCAGAGATTACTTTACTACATTAGCTTCTGAACAAACCTAGTGCAGAAAGCAGTATCAAAGAAGAAAGAAGGAGAGACAAAACTGTAATATGCAATTGCGCATTTATGTATTTGATAGGTAAAAGCTCTCGCCTTATTTGCGACGACAAAAAATAAGCATGGATGGCTAAATTTAAAAACCAAATTGTTTATACAGTGATGCCATGATTATCTGACGATTTGAGGTGAGGGCCGTATTGGATATCGAAAATGTCGGAAAATCAAAACCACCAAAAAAAGAATGAAAAAAAATGTCATTTCAGGTAAAACAAAACAGCACAAACCTGGCTACATTTTTATTGTGTTTCATAGTCCTTTGTTTGGGGGAAAAACATAAAACCACATATGAGGACTTATCTGTAACAATAGCGGATGTGAAAAATTACCTTTTCAAAACACGCTTAAAAAACTGTTTGGTTCACACAAAAATGCCATATGTTTGTCTCTGGCATAATGTACAGATCTCGAAGATCACATCTCCAGTATTTTCTTAAAATTTTCATGATGCCAAAACAGTTCTTTGAATGTGTTTCGTAAAGGTAATTTTTCTCATCCACTATTGTTACAGATATGTGTTCATGTCTTGCCCAGAAAATTACTTTTCTATGTGTCAGCTAACTTGTTTTCAACCAAGTACTTAGTTTTGACTACATCTGATAATTGAGGCATCACTGTACTTTGTTAGTGAGTCACTCAGTTCTAAAAAGGTATGCGTCAATCTACAAAATGCAAAAAATGTAAAGCTTTAAATTCTTTTTAAAGGATATCTTGTCTATCAAAACTGTTACCGATTAGAAAGTCATTGATGATAGAATTTGAAAAGAACCATAAATAACGATGCAAGTAAACTAGTCAACTTGCGTCAGCAAGACTTCAATGATACAGCCAATCTTAATGCCTGCATTTTGGTGGGTACATTTTTTGTCCAATTCGTTTTCCTGATAGACTGTTCATTAGAATTCTCATTCATTTTATCAAAATGCAAGAAAAAAAAGTAAAATACTTATAAACTAGGAATTTTGAAGTTCAATAACTAACTATATATGTACCTAAAATTCTCAACCAGAAAAATACAGAAATCACTTGCATGGAAAACACAAACAATTAATCTACTGGTACCTCCTGACTCCCCGAGCTTTTCAAAAAATTTTTACTAAGTACATTTGAAATACAGTTTTTCACTGCAGAGAAAAGTTCCTCCAAAAGAACATTGCGTACTTACATAGTGAATTGAAAGACCGAAAATTTCAAAAAAATACATGGCTTTAACTTGGTATAGTAGTAATGCAAGTAAGAATTGATTCTATTGACAAGCATTTCAATATTTCCAAAGTAGCATCTCTAAATCAGGTCATCCTGATTGAAGAAATTGTCAAAAAGCACAAAATTATAAATACAGTTAACTTTCTCTGAGTCAAACGCTCTTTAAGTAGAATTTTCTCCAAAGTCAAACTTTTTTAAGTCCTGTCGAATTTCCATTAGAACAGAGAACCCTTTAAGTGAAATTGCTCTCTAAGTGGGACTGACAATCTGGTCCCTCTGCTGTTTGACTTAGAGGAAGTTAACACACTTTAATCAAAAAATTTAAAATTAGTTAACTTTAACAATGATTCCAGTAGTTTAAAAGAAATCTACTTGAGGCCCCTATATCTTTTTTGTAAACAACATATTGATGGCCAAAGTGCAAAATTACGTACCTCTGTAGCGGTGTTTCAAAATTTCTGTACCAGTTTTACTTTTTCAAAAAGAGACAAGTCGACTTTATGGCTTGAATTTTATACAGAATATTTTACTAACAGAGAAGAAAAATCAAGGAGGTTCTCATGAAATTACATTCACTAGTTTTTTAAAGAAAAAATGAAATATGACAAGAGATCTGCAATATCGCAAGTGGAGATACGTGGTTTTGCACTTCGGCCATCAATATTTCACAACTTTTTTGTACCAATTACTAGGATAACACTTCAATAATTCATTCAAAATTGCTTCGCAACTTTGATAGCCCAAATTGATCATTTTACTAATTCAACTTTTAGGTCGATGAAATAATAAGTGCCTCCTTGATGTTTAACTAGGTTAGTAGATTATTTGTCAAAATTAAACAAACCAACACTGTGCGCTAAAAATTAGGATTTGACAGCTGGGCTGAAAGATTGCCAAACATTCAGTAAATCCAATGCCTTTGCATATTTAAAAATGGCGTCAATAACATATCATTAGTTGCATGGTATAAAGACTCATAAGTGTCACTTTGCCTTGAAAAGTCTTCAGCAAATTTGTTCTTCCCCAAAGAAATCAAGGCACAAAGTCATGTGAAAACTTTTTCAAGTTTTCTTGGCTTTTTTTCAAAGGTGTTTTGAACATTTTTGAACAAGACAATATTGATACACCCTCTACATATACCTTCGGTGAGGAAAAAAATAAAATTAGTCTTTATTATGAGGACTTTCTAATGTTTAACTGTGACTTAAAACGGGCAATCATTGGAAAAGGGTAACAAAAACCATCATTTCTGACTTGCAAAATAATTTAAATAACCCTAAAAATTGTTTTTCTTGCTTTTTTAATAAGTACCTACTTTTCCTCTTTTTCAGCAGTCGTTAATTAAAATAAAGAGAAAGATAAAAAAAAGAAGAAAAAATAACCCACAGGTCACAGGAACAATCGTACAAGAACAACATTTAGATTAACATGTCAGTAAGTCATACAGTTTTGAGGCTTGAGCCCGAATTTCTTCATTGCTGTGTTTATGTGACAGTATGAATGCTTTGTCACGGATCTTCTCTTGAGTATTCACCCCGAAAATTGCAGCATACCTATGAACAAAATTAAAGAATTTTAGATCGAGCAAAACTTCTGAAAAAGAAGAGGATGGTAAAATGAAAACTGACAATTATTTCATTGCCATGGCTTGAAATTTTCGCAGAATCATTTAACATCCTTCCATTATTTGTAATTTTTTTCACTGTGGAACATTGCTTGTTTTTTTTTTTTTTTTTTTTTCTTTTTCTTTTTTTTTCTTTTCTTTATGTATAAGTGGAGTATGTTAAAAAGTATGGTTACACTTTTTACGCTTGACATTGTTTAAAGGTAAGAAAGATACATTAATATGCGAACTACCATCTTTTTACCAAAATTGAAAAAGAGAAATTTGCCTTCTCTAGAAAAATTATCTGAGCCTAGATCATCGTCTCCTTTTTGCATGGAGTACAATAGAGTCGCAATGTTCTGGAGCGCCGATAAAGTCACTTTTTCAAGGCTGTTTTGTCCAGTACTCCTGAGACTATGATGTGGCAACTGGCAATGCTGTATGCGCAGGGTCCCAGCTCCGGTCTTCGCTCAGAAAATACAGGTATAAAATTTATTCCATCAATACCTGGAGTGTCGTACATTTTTTAATTTCTTATGACTTTGGTGAACACAATTCGCCGAAATTCGCGAAAATAGTGATTGAATTAAATGAATCAATCCCAAAAACCAATTGCAGCCCGCGATTCTCCTGTAAGCCGCCGTGTTAAAAAATGCCGAACGGTTCCCAGATGGTTCCCACTTTCCGGCAAACAAGGGGCTCGGAATGGCCGTTCATGGATTGACTTCAATGGTGCTTCAATACATTGCGACTCTATTGTACTCTATGGCTTTTGTTGAAAACCCCATGACATCTGAAATACTTAGGCTGGCTGAAAATTGTGTTGTTACATTTATTCGAGGAAACATTAGTGATGGATGCAATGCATTAATCCCTATCGCCACCTTGACATAAATTATTATACTACTATATTACAGTGGACAGATTGTGCGGCGCTGAGTGATGATTTTCTACTACTCAATAAAAAATACTTTTACAGGAATAATAGTGTATCGAATAAGTAGTGCTTACATTGTTTCTGGTGATGCAGCTTTTTCTTCTGGCGGTAAGTCCAGAGTTGGATCTAGATGATAAGTACGGGCTGTTCGCACAAGATTTACCAACAGATTGACGACACGCAGAAGAATATCATCTTCAGTTTTTCCATCCAGTAGATATATCAGCCGTTTTGGAGCCTATTACATTACAATAAATTACTACTCATGGAAAAGCTGACAAAGTTCTTAAATAATAAAGTAAATCATTAATTGGGTGATGTATAAAATTTTGGTGAGAAGAGGTATTGGAGTAAAAGCAAGCTTAACAGAGGTTCACCAAGTTCCCAAAGGCTGAACATTTATCCTGATCCGGTGGTTTCTACTTTGCAAAATTGTGTATTTACCTCACTTTTTAAAAAAATATGAAAATTACTTCACAGTCATTTCCCCTCACCTTTGCCACGATTAAACCACCTTAATTTCTTCTCCACTGGTTTCGTCTACAATTGAAGATAGTTTTGTCTACTTTAGTGTTTTTGTTACCTTCTATGATGACGGTACCGGGACATTATTCAAGAACATTATCAATGAGTCGGTTAAGCTGGTCATAGAATTGTGTTTTGATGCTTGATTCTTGTAGATTTTCTACAGATAATCGGATCTGTCTAAACAGCAACTTTCTATGTTCATTATGAAATGGGATATCATGCTTTGATAAAGTCAGTTTATGACGTCATCCACCGCAGTAGTGATACCCTTGGTTTCTTCCACCTTGTTTCCATCCGAGTTACACAGTGAGTAACCAATACAAATGTGTGTCTCGCTGATTGATGAGAGCAAGGTAGAGGAAACCATGTCACCACCGCGGTGCATGACGTAATGAACCAACTTTTGCAAAGCGCTGTATATTTGGTTACTATTGAATGTAGAAAGTTGCTGTTTGGGCAGATCTTATTATTTTTAGCTAATCTAAAAGAATCAAGCATCAAAACGTGATTCTGCTACCAGTGCAACTTGCCCATTGTGAATGTTGGTGTAGGATCAAATCAAATTTGACCTCCAGTTGAAATGAAATGGAAAAAAAAAAAAAAAAAAAATTGTTTCAAAGAAATAAAAAATACCTGAGCAGCAAGGAGACTAGGAATCATTTCTTCATTACAAGACAGATTGATGAGAAGCTTCAGGGCTTGGACCTTGACTTTAGGACTAGCTGTGTCCAATAAATTGTACAAATTATGAAGGATGGGTTGGAATTCTTCATGCCATTCATTCAAAACGGCAACGTTGCTGAGAGTGAGCAGGGCACAATGTGTCAATTCCTCATTAGATTGCTTCTTATAGACAAAGGAGAGTAGGATCGGAATAGCATCCTGAAATGTTAAAGGCAAGTTGAATGAGATAAAGAAAAAAAGAAAAACTTATACTGTCTGAAAAGGCACTGAAATAAACGCCTGAAAACCCCTTGTATGAGATGAGAAACATATCATTAAATTGGAAAACCAGGACGTCTAGCAATTTGAAAGAAGAAAAAAAAAAACCCCTAACATTTCCCTGATTTCCCTGATAAAAACGGTCAAAAACCAGGAAAAAATTTAAAAGTCCCTCCGAGACAAAAAAAATAATTCCCTAATATTTCTCTGAAAAAAGGGAAAATATTCCTAATTTTTAGATTAGATGTAAGTAAGAATTTTTTCATGTTAAAAGAATATAATATAATGTAATGATATAGGGCAAAATATGTGGTGCCTTCACTATTTTTCGAAAAATCCTTCTTTTTCGATTTCCCTGACATTCCATTCGCACAAAAAATTGCTTGCAAAATAAATTTCCCTGACATGCCTTTGCAAATTCCCTGATGTTTTCCCTGACATTTCCTCGTCTTCTGGGTCGCTAGGCAGCCTAAAAAGTAAATACATTCTATCTCCATTTTACAGATAATTCTCAATAGTCATCTTAGAGGAAGAAGAAAAAACTCATCCCAAAAATCGGACTTTTTTAAAGGTTTTAATTCCATATTTTGCTCAGGAATCCCCTGTTTAGTCCTACATATTTTCATGGGGTCATGGGTGTTTTCCCGTGTTTCCCCGTTTTCACAGGGGTTTCTCCACTTCCTTGCAACCAGTACACGACCATGTCAGTTAACTGGTCAGGAGGTTTCTGCGACCCCGTTCCATTGTTATCAATTTCTTTCTTTCGTTTTCTTTCTGAATAACTTTGAATTCCACGTGAATTGGCAAATTAAAATGTGTTTGTATCTTTTGGAGCTAACTCCTGGTGCAATATTTTTGCATAAGCTAAAAATTATACTATATTTAAAGGATTGCATGATTGTTCTTTTATTGGTCCTCCATTATGTAAAGAGGAATGATTGTCAGAAGTTCGAAAAAGGCTGTCCTGACTCCTCTTCCAATTGTTGACTTCAGGAATCATTGATCATCAGTACACACATCTGACAGTTGTATGTAAAAAATAAGCTTCAGTGAAAATGTTAAATAAAATGCTGAAAAACAAGAAATTAAGGGAAGAAAGCAACTTGCTAACCTTCATCTCTCGTTGATTATCTGCATTGAGTGCTAGATTGCCTAAAGCTTTTAAAGCTGCTAGTCTTACTGAAATATTCCGATGTGTTAGAAAACTGGTTAAACTAGACAAACATCCTACTTCTCGGAAAATGTTCTGTAACAGAGAAAAAAGATAATGAGTATTCATTTAAACATAAAAATTTAAGGATAGTCTATGGCCTTTCTATTAATCTTGATGATTTAGAGTAATCAAGCGACTGACAAGAATTCAACGTTATGGTCACACCTCACAAAATAACTTTTTTTGGTTGTAAAAAACCTCTTGCACAAAAGTAAAAATTATTTTGACCAGGAGTTTTAACCTCCGTAACGTACTCGAGAATTGCGACTAAGGCGACTATGTACGCCAGGAAAACGGGAGAAACCGCCATTCAAGCGGGAGAGCTAAAACACTGTATGAAGACCGAAAGTTGTAATGAAAGATAGGAGATACAATGTGAATCACACTAAGAGGGAAGGGTAAGAAGAATTAAAATGGAAAAAAAAGGGGGTGGTCAAATTTTGGGCATCTTGACAATTGTCGTATGTCATTAATCATGTACGTAGATACACATGCTTTTTGTCATCAATTTTCTTAAAAACGGTGCAGTTCATGGAAAAAAGTCATTTTATATAAAATTTTTGGAATTATATTTTAAGTTGACCTAAGCAAAAAACGGACATGATGGTCTTTTTTTCATACTTAAAATTTTGGGTTTTGTTAGAATATCAACGCCATATTGTACCTACTTACATCACAAGGTAAGCAAATCTTCAACATGCGACCACCTGCTTTATTTTACCTAAACATTTATTCTTAGATGCAGCAATAAAATGTTGGCATTTCATCTACGACACTTTACCGGAAGAGTGTGGATTGGGGATTGAATTAAGAGTCAAGGTACAGTGAATATTACACATACTGACCTGATTTGCAGCAAATGTACTTAAATTAGAAATAGTAGTGATAACTTTTTCAACAACACTATCTTTAGTACTATGAAGGAGATAAACCAGCGTTTTTGCTTCATTTACATCGATAGTCCTGAAAAATAAAGAAAATATTAATACTAAGATGTACACCTCATACATTCTGGAAAAATAATTATTATTACGTACATATGGGTAAATTGAAGGTGCCAGAGTTTCTAATTAATAGGCTAATAGAAGAAGGCAAACAGGGCATGATCTTCTCCATCAGGGACTTTCTTTTACCTGCTTTTCAAGAATACCTAGCTGGTGTGTTGAGATTTCCGTCTAAGTAAATGATGGTGGTGTTGGTTCTTTTCAAGGCAGAGAGCAAATTCTTCTTGACCGTAAACTTGAGACCAAACTGCGCAAGAGCCCAAAAAATTGTGGAGGCTGAGGGTGGTTTTTTTAATATTTCTTCACCTTTTTTCAAATTCAAGAGCTTTCTGACTTTTAACACTCTTGGAATAATACTACTTTGACACACATCCAAAAATAATCAAAAAATTTAACAAGATTTTGATAAGCATATTGTGTTGACCTTCTAGAGAAAACCCAGGACGTTACAGAAAATTGCAGAGGCCTTGAACAATCTGCAACCCTCATGCATGCTATGAATACTGAAGCATTCCACCTTTTATTAGATAGATTGTTCTGAATTGTGCACTTAATGGCCAATCAAGAACTACATGGCAAGCCTGAAGAGTAATTTTTCTTAGTAAACTTGCACATTATGTAAAGTTTTGTACATTTTCTAACATACTTTTTATTTGGTTGATTTATGCTAAATTTAAATATGCGAGTCCCTTTCAGAGGTCAATAATTGAGCACTAAAAATTTTAACAGTGTAGATTTTTTACGAAAAATCTTGCGATGGAATGGTTTACTACCTCTGAATCAAACTGAGAAGCATAGGCAGCAGAGTAGATATATTGAGCCTCGATAGGTAGGTACATACTTAAAAGCTTTAGAGAAAAATCTGAGAATCCATAGAGAAACAAAAACCAGCTGCTCAAAGAAATATTGATTCATTACTTCAAATAATTTTTTTTGCTCTTTACAACCCAAAAATCAGGCGACACTAAGCTGCGAAGAATACACATTCGAGCTGTAGGTTTTCAAATTGTCACAGATCAAGACTGAGTGGAATTTGTTTCTGCGGATATTCACATGAGTTCCCAGAAAAAGGTCAACTTAACTAAAATTCAAACCAAGGACTTACTGACCTACAGTCAGACGTCCTGAGTACTCCTATTGTGCTAAGAAAGACTGTAAGAAAATTCGAGCGTAGCCAAATTTCCCTAGACAAAGCATGTATTTTTTAGTCATGCATATTTATCCTTGCAGTTTTTGGATATTTTAGTTTTAATTGCGAACAAAATTGAAGAAAAATATTCACAATTTTTTCAGTAAATTCATTTTGTATTGAAGAAAATACGGCAAAGTCTCAAGGTTCATACATACAGCATTTTTCCTGAATAGGGCAAACTAAGACAACCAAGCAGGCTAACCTTACACTATGGCTTACCTATTACTGTGTTCTAGTTGGTCTAAAACGGATCCCACATCAGCACCTTCTTGCAATACTTTGTCGGCAGTTTTCTTCAGCTTTTCAAGGGTTTTGGGACTCGGGGCCCGGGGAGGTGGGAGCGGAGATTTTTGGCGGATTGATTTCCTTACCCACCGCCGTTTCAATGATGATCCAACGCCAGTGTCAATATCAATTAGAGTTAGATTTTCTGTTGATTGACTCCCTAAGAGATGACGAACATCTACTGGACTAAGAATTCTGGGCGAGCTCCAAGGTGAGGCCTGCAATAATCAATAAAAGCAAAATTAGAAGAGAGTTTTTGAATAAAAACTTAGCAATTATGCCATTAAATCAGAGATCAACGTGTAATTCTTTCAATGAAAAAAGCTACTAGGTACCTGGTCAGGGAACTAAGCTAGTCATCAACATCAGACATTTTCAAATGAGCCAATTTGATTATTTCCCTGAGTTTAGTTTTTTTCACTTCAATTTCTCTCTTTATTTCCTCCTTTTTTTTTACACCTTTCTTTTGTTCTTCTTCTTTACTGTCTCATTTTTTTCCTTTGGAATTCCTATACGGTAAAACTTTTTGAATCAAAGCGCACCACTACACTCAAAATACAACCTCAGCCGAGGATGGCAATTCCAGAGAGGGACCTTTCCGCACCATTAGCATTCTATTATTGATCTCTTTTACTCTATTTTTCTTCCAATCTTCTAAATCTTGTATTCATGTTTTATGCTGCTACCTTCCGATTTTTTTTTTTTTTTTTTTTTTTTTTTTCCAACAAACCTTGTGAATGATGTAACTGTGTACAGAGGTGCTAATGGCTATAGTTGTGAAAACACCGCTTTAAATGGACAACTATTACTACTACTATTTTCTCTCTTTAAATTCATCTTTCTTTACTTTTCATTTTATTTTTTTTTTGGTCTCCCTCTCTTTAATCTTTTGAGATAATTTTTGTGTTAAATCTAGTCTGATTTATTCTATTATGTAAAACTGGACCAGCCACACAAGCAAATGCTCATGACTGGCCTCAAGTGAATTATTATGCTTGGTCGAATGTACATTTCAAAAATAAAATTATCTATCTATCTAGACTTCTTCGCTACTACTATGTAGCTCACGAAATTGAGGAGAAATTTAATGCATCTGTTCAAAGAGATAGGAATCTTGCAGACAGACTTACCGTCAAACTTCGTGCACTATGAACGCTGTGAGACTTGTGAGGCGACTGGTTTGTCTGTATTGCTAGTACTGTATCTGTAAACATTTTGGCTCTTAAATTCAATTCTCTGATTCTTTCCTGAACAGTGAATGGTCTGAGTGCAATCTTCTTTGATCCTGAGAGGTCCAGGTCCCCTAGCAAAACATCAGTCTGTGTGGTCTGAGATAATCTCCTGAAGTACAATCGATGTTCTTGCCGATAACCTGTGCAAAGAATAATGAAGATTATGTGACTATAAACCTTACAATAATAAAAATAGACCGGATAAGGCAGGGACAAGACTGAAAAAACACACAACAATTATTACTAATCAAGAGACGTTTCGACCGGTCTCCTGGTCATTATCAACTGTCCAAAATGAATTGAAAAATCTAAAAAAACAAAAGCTAAAAACAATGTTACCGGTCCCTGGTCATGATGGCTAGAAGACCCATAGCGACTGGAAGGGTCTATTTTTATTATATGTTCTCAGGTTGCTATAGTGTACATTTATCTATGCACCATACAATACAAGTTTCTAGCTCTAAATGTGATATCAATGGTGAAAGTTGAAATATGACATTAAGGATGAGCCATGTTGCAGATTTTTTGACCCTTTCCATTGTCACAGATGAAAACTAAGTGATGGCACTGCTTAGTGGAATTTTTCCCTTGTGAAAAACCTCTGAAAAGTAGTTATGACAAAGGGTTTTTTGGACCTCCTAGCAGGGGAGCACATTTCACTGTGCTTCCACAATTTCGCGCGATAAGCTTTTCCTCTTCCACAAAAAATTTTCAAAAAATTTCCACAATTTAGTGACTCCTTCCACAAAAAGTGATGACCTTTTTTTTGTTTCGGTGAAAAATCTGAGATTCAAAGTGAAGAGCGAGAAAAGAAACGAGAGAAAGAAAGAAAGAAAAAAAATTTCCACAAAATTTGGGACGCTTCCACATTTTCAGGCGATACTTTATCGCGTGATCGCGCTTCCGAAAATCGGGAAGGCCTTCCACAATTTCACGCGATAATTTATCGCGTGCTCTAGTATATTGGGCACCCCTGCCTCCTAGTTCAGCCGACTTCGGAGCAAAACAAGGTAAAGGTGTCTTCAGATAAGTAGGCATTTGTTTATATTCCGCTTGCAAGCAACCGCAAGCAATTGTTCAATAGGGATCGAGGATTGACTATACTTGCAATCGGGCCGTAGTCAATCCTGGAGCACTTTGGGATGATTGAACTGCTGTCGCTTGCAAATATAATGTAAACTAATTCCAACTGATGACACCCCTGATATTATGTTACACCAGAGTGCTAAGATTGTAAATTTGCTCACGGGAAATGGGATATTTAAGAGCATGAAACGGTCCCTGTCACCACCAGTGCACGAGTTTTGAAACATTATTCGATGGAGGCAGTGCTGCTGACAGTCCTCGGAAAACCTCTTTTCTCATGTATATCCTATTTACAAAGAAATGCAAAGATACGTGCAAATTGAGGATCTAAAATGAAAGGTAGTACAATCACACTTATCACCGAGAAAGAGGGGTGAAATGATAACTTACCGCCTTCGCCCTCGCGCTGACCTAATTTTCGACAGAATGCAGTTCTCACCACCGAGTATCCTACATAAGCGAACCCAGCAAAGACGGCCGAGCAGAGGGCAACCTTATTAGCAGTCTTATCATTACCAACGGAGTTTGCCATTTTTTACTTCTTTAAAGTAGCAGATGCATGAGAAATGGACACTCCAAGACCTTGAGGGTGAGTCTGAAGACTAGAGCTCCTGCTGATGACACAGAGGGCAACAATCCGATCACACCAATTTATGGGCATACACTCGTGCTAATATTAATGGAAACACTTTTCTTCGATAAAATATTAGGTGAGAATAAGGATACACGACATAATTGCGAAGGTGCGGTGTGAAATTTAAAGAAACTTGATTAAAATTTCATTCACGATTGCGAACCTCCACGATGTAAATAAATAGGAAGGAGCGAGGGGAAGGAGGAAGGACGAAGGAAGGAAGCACGGTGAGGGTGAGATTGTGCCGAAATGACGTCAAGGACAATGACGTCAGGACAGTCTCGACCTCTAATTGGTCAATTTAGGAGGTAATCAAAACATAAACAATAATATAACCCTAGTTTGTATTTTATTTCGCCGCCTTGCCAGTATCTAGCGAAATTTTGCATTCGTACCATTTATGCTATCATATTTGTTCGTGCTTGTGGTCTCATATAGTAGTGTTTTAGAAAATTCATCATGTCATTAAAGGAAGTTTATCTGACGGGTGATGTTTTTCTCAACTGTCTTCAACTTGCTTTCTCCAATGAGAAGCAAGAAGTTATGGGACTTCTCATCGGCGAGGTAATATTTTCTCCCTACTTTTTGTCGAATTGATCAGAAACCTGTCAATATCTTGCTCAGCTGTTCTGTTAGACTCCAGGCCATGAAGCATTCATCACTAGCATCTTGAGGTTTCAGCGAGGCATTGCGGCAGTTAAACTACCAGACGACGTACCTATGTCGGTTTGCAACATTGCAGACTTTCCGTAATACTTACTTTATTTTTTATATGGAACACTACTCACTGTCAATTTTTGTAAACTTCCTTGATATTTCCTCTCTAATCGAAGAAAACTCTGTGTAAATTTTAAGGAATGATATTGATTTATTCTCCTTTAAAAATAAAATGGGGGCGGAGATTCTTAAGTATAGTGAACAAGGTACGTGTTCTGGTAGCTTCACCAATGGTTGGCTTGCAGTGCACCAGTGTCCTTTATTGTAACCTCATTTCAATCTTCCTAAGTATTGTTGAAGTAAACTGTCATTAATTTGACTCATCAATTTCTCATTGATCCATTGCACTTTAATATTGAACCAATATCAGTTGATATTCTGTTGTTTTCTTGCAGTTGAAGCCAACGGATACCGATGACAAATCAGTAAATGCCCTAATAACTCATCTATTCATTCCGCAAAGAGCTGATAGGAAACGTGATCGTGTTGAGACATCACCAGAGCAGTTAATAGAGGCATCAGTGGAGGCCGAGGCACTATCCAAGAAACTGCAGAAACCTGTGACTGTCTGCGGTTGGTTCCACTCTCACCCTCATATCACTGTTTTTCCATCACACGTCGGTTAGTACTTCAGAATTATAACTTCAAATTCAAATATTCCTAGTGCTATGGAAGTATGAAATTGATCTAGGGTGAGTTGATAAGGAAACGCTGAAATGCTTTCCTTAGTTAGTCCACCTCATTTAAGCCAAATTTTTTTTAAAATGTGGTCCATCTTTGGGGCGGTTTATGAAATATGTAACGCAAGTATTCTTTTTAAGTATACTGGCATCCTCAGAGGTGTTGCAGTTGGTTATAAATGCTATTAAAGGATCAATTATAAATTGCATTCCGATGGTGAAATTACCAAACCATGTATCTCGATTTGCGACATTGCAAACTTCCTGTCATTCTATTTTTTCTAAATGGAAAACTACCCAATGTCAATTCTTTAAAACCTCCGTGCTTTGTCTTCTCTATGCAAAGATACTCTGTGAAAACCTCAAGGAATGATATTAATTTGTTCTATTTTAAACAAGTCAAATAGGGTCGGATGTCAGTACCATGAAGTTTCAAAGGAAGATGGATTTTGGTCAGCAGCTTTATTTAGTTTTCTTGGATACTCATAAGGCCTATTATATTGTTCCTCCTGTGAAACTTTGGGAAGTCCTAGAAGAGACTGGTTTTAGTAAAGGACTTACTGGGGCAGTCAAAAAATTTTACGTGCATACATGTTTGTAAACACCGCAACAAGCTACGGGGTCTGATAGTTTTACCATCAGTTTCATATCTCCAAGCTCCTGTCCTGAGATAGGCATTAAAATGTTTTCTCATCAATAAATTATTTTATTGATGAGATTCTTATATATTTTCATACATTATTATGTTTTCTTTCTTTGTGTTAATTTATTTTTTCAATTTTTCCTCTGTTACAGATGTGAAAACACAGGCTGCTTATCAAATGATGGAAAAAGGCTTCGTTGGCATCATATGTTCAATTTTCAACACTGATCAACATCATGTAAGTTCCAAGAAACATTTTCTCGCGTCTAATCTTTAGAATATTTGTAACGCGCATATGTAGTATATTACTGTTGCAATCTTTTCAAACCTTAAATGATACAACATGTATCAAATCTCCCACAGCCTCATGGAAAAATGTGTGAGGGCTTGGGGGGCTATTTGCATATTTTGATATGCTTGTCAAAAAGTTTACAAATGCCTCATGTATATTTTTGCAAATCACGGTAGCTTTTAATATCCAGTATCAAAGGTAAAGGGGCTGCATTATTTTACTCCTTTTTGAGATCGCGTTGAAACTAGGGTCAAAATATGAAGGCGGTTGGCAGTTTAGCCATCAGACAAAGTGGTCGAATAAATAGGACTTTACAATGTGCATTTTGGATGTTTAATCTAGAATAGCAAATTCAGCAAGAAGAAAGGCAAGAAAATATGTACCTATCAAGTGAAAATGATATTTCCCTCCCAACTTAAAATCATGAATTTTTCTAACTATAGCTGATATTGAAATATTTTATTGCACCTCATAGAGCAATCCTTTCTTTTTTGGTGAATGTTGGCACATTAAGTATAAATACAAATAATTGATCATTGATAAAGTTTGTCAAGTGAATAAAATTATTATTTTCATACATTTTGTATTTTTATAATGGTAGTAATTCCTGTTTCTTTTTCTCCGCAGAAAAATAGAGTCAAACTTACCTGTTTCCAGTCCAATTATAATAATTTAAAAGGTGACTACGAATCCGTTGATATTCCATTCCACATCTTACCTGTTCCTTCAATTTCCAGTCATTCCTTTGAGGTAAGATACTTATTTAATCCTAAATTCAACACTTTGAATCAATTTCGGTGGTTCCTAATACTACTTCAAAATTATTTCCGAATTATTGCCCGGTAATAGTATAAATGATCTAAAGCTCAGATAAAACGATCAGTCATGATGGAGACTCGCTACGTCTGAGTGTAGATGAATTTTTATTTGACAGTTCAACTGGCGCAGTGCACTGAAGGGGAGGATTTGGTTGAGGACTCACTTTAATGTAGGACAAATACCAAGGGAAGCACAGTAAAATTATGAGATCTACTGAATACTTTATCATGAACAATATGACAAAATGAAATCTTTATGTGGCAAGTATTCCCTTCCTTACAATTTACTATCTGCCAATTTAAAAAAAAAAGTTTGTAAATTAATCCTGACTTAGCTTCTCAGTCACTTTTAATGAAGCAACAGAATTTTCTGTGCATCAATTTTCATTAAATCTTAAACTACCTCAAAACTTTTAAATTGTTCAAGTACTTTCTTTTCTCTGAAATCAGTTTTTTCCATACTTAATGGACTATCAGACAGGGTTTGAATTGAAGTATTATGATGCCTTATTCTCATTGCGCAAATTGTGTTATGAGTTCGTAAAATTTTGTGGAGGAAATATGCATGAGGATATTTACATTTGTATTATTTACAGTGGCTGTTCAGTTATTGTCTGTTACATTACTTGATTTAGCTGAAAAGTTTTCACTGTTTAACCCCCACGTAAAATATCCTCATTATGTGTCAACTTAGCTACCGAGCTATTACTCTTGTGCATTTCGTACTTTTTTTTTTGTCAGCATTTTGTGTCTCTCGACATTATATTATTTGCTTTTAAATAATGTCTTAAGAAATAGAAAGAAAGAGAGGGATTCTTTCATTTTTTTAAAGTGCTTTCTTTTACTAAAATCTAATTAGCATTACGATTTTTTTTAAATTTCAGACTATGATAAATATGCAAAAAACTTTGAACCTAGAAGAAATCAATGATTTCTCACTTTGTATGGCTCAGCTAGACAACAAGGATTTTCTCACTAGATTTCAGAATCATACTGGTTTGTTTCCATATTTTACTCAGCTAATTGACTCCTCATAAAAGTAGTACTCTTCGTCTTTTTTAAAAAAATTTCATCTTATTTAAGATGAAAATGCCAGAAGGACAGTAATAAAAGAAAGAATTTTGACAAAATGACTAATTATATAAATAGGGCCGCAACAGTCACGCAGTACTGGGAATTGTTGGGGAATTTCAATAGTCAGAGAAAACGATGAAAGTGTCAGAGAATTCTCGGTAAGTCACGTTAACTTGCTTTATAAAATGATTTCAACTTTTGAAACAACAAAGTTTGCCTGAAAACTATTGCAAATTATGTCTTTCTAACCATCTGGCATATCAATGGCGTAAGTCCGCAATCACATAACTCGTTTGCGGTGTCTGAAAATCTCCGCCTCTTAGTTATTTTTTCAAAGGAAAACAAATTGACATCATTCCTTGAAATTTTTGCCGAATTTTCTTCGCCCAGAGAAGAAAATTCACGGTGGTTTTAAAGAATTGCAGCTGAGAAGTTTTCCGTTTAAAAAATAAAGTACGACAGGAAGTCTGCGACGTCGCAAACTGAGTTATGTAATTGCTGACTTACACCGTTGATATCTTCAATTGTCAAGGGATTTACCAAAATGTGTCAGGGTGATCAGGGAAATGTTAGAGAATTTCATTTCCTGAAAAATTAGTATATTGGTGATGATTAGTGGACTTAAGCATTTGAAACCAAAATAAGTTCCACTGAGACCTAAGTTCTAAATGATCATAATGATTAATTATGGAATTGGTCTGTATTTTGAAGCTTTCTAAAAATTTCACTTTGCTAGTGAAGGGCAAAACTATACTGCACAATTTTTTAAGTAAATTATAAAGTTTAAAAGCTTCAGGCATTGTTGAATAATTGCATTCAAAGAAAAAGTATGAAACATGTGTTAAACCTTTATTAAGTTCCTTGGCCATTTAATGAAGGAGAACTGCTGTCTGTTGTCCCTTCATTATTTGTTTTTAATGAAGGCTTATCTTTTTTCTCTATCTTTCAGCTTTAGCCCATGCATTCAGTCGAATAGCTGAAGTTTTCAGTCAACCCCTGTTCGCAGCCTTATCTCTTAGATTAGAACACAATCAGAATACAATTGCAAGGTTGAAAGAACAGATAGAAATGGCAGAGGTATGACAGTTGTTTTTCTTCTCAACAGTTAAGGTAGCCTATGGGCACCTCAGTACTTTTGGAGGTTACGTTTTATCAGGTCGTGGAGCTCTTAGGCCTTGAAAGGGCAGCTAATGTATCAGCAAAAATTATTCAGAATTTCATATTACTACAATTATTACTACCTGCAATTTCTAAAAATATTGAAGTATGTATGTATTAGACCTTGTTTTTCACCTAAATCCCCACTTTTGCAGAAGGACACTTTTTTATTTTTTAGTTTTATAAAGCGTACATAAAGCCACCAAAAGGGGCTACTGTAAGAGTCAGAAATAATTACACAAGGAAGAAAATCACAGGCGTTTCTATGGCTAGCAAGATTTGAAAAGTTCAAACATAGTGGAAGAAGATTATTATTTTTTTTCTTTATTTTCTTTTCTTTATTTAATTTCTTTTTCAGTTGTTTTTTTGTCAAAGAATTGGCTGCCTTTCTGGGCCTTGAGAGCCCCACGTTTTGATATGTTCATATTCTCCAGGTACTCTGTTCCTCACGATTGGTAACTTTAGTGCCTGTTTACCTTCTTTTTTTGGAGAGGGGGAGGCTGCTCCTCAAGCTTTTGATTCCAAACTCACGCCCTCAAGCAGGGACGGATTAAAAAAAGAAAGAAAAGGAAAAAAACCCTTGAAAATAATTAAGCTCTTGCTAAATGAAAAGTTAGTAAAACTGTTTGTTTACTCACATTAGTTTTTTGACTCCCCTCCTTATGCAAACCTGGTCGGTGGTGACTGAGAAAAACTGCCCACAGACGCGGGAAACTTGCAAAAGCGTGCTACAAACTATGCAGATTGTGCACAAAAGAATGGATTTCAGACTTTTTTGATATGTCCGAAGTGATTTTTGAGCAATTTTCCCTGTTGAGAGTATATTTATTTGGCTGTGTCTCTAGCGTGCAACAAACCAAATGCAAATAAATTAACCAAAAGTTTTAAACTGGAAAATTTTCTGGTTTTTAACATAATAATATTCCTGATATATTTATGAATTTTTAGTGGCTCCATTAACGCTCAGATTCGGTGAAGAACCATGAGAATGAAACCAAGCTGCTAAATATGTAGTCAGTTTATAGTCAATTAAGCTTTCATGAGTACTTATCGCTTCTTTGTATATCTTTTAATATCACATTTCTTTCTTTTCTCTGTTGCAGAAGCAAAACAAAAAAAGTCTGAAAAGGAGCAAGTAATTGCAATTCAACACATCTGACAAATTTGCTGCGCCATCATTCCTATCGTACACTTCCAGAATGTGCTTTTTTATGCAGCACCTCAGTACTTACATGGATATTTTTGTTCTATTTTTAGCTCTTCCTTTCCATGTCAATGAAAGAACATAAAGTTTCCAAGGAGTCTTTCTGAAATTTTGAATCAAGGGTTTTCTTTTGTTTTTTTAGATATTATTAGCTCCTTTTGAATCACTAAGTACTACTCTGACTAAGGTTCTTGAGGTTTCCAAAAAACATTAGACCCCCTTTTTTATTTGAGGGAGTGTCCCCCAAAATCCAAAGAAACGTTTTAACAGAACATTCTACCTCTGTTTTGTTCCCAAGATAATCAGGCCGGCTCAGGGCTCCTGAACTAGACTGAACGTACATATTTAATTATTTTCTAATTTGTAATTTTTTTTCTTGTTTCGTACCTGCAACTGCAGTATGTTATTCGTTGCCATCTTACTCCCTTGTCTGTGATTTTGCTTATGAGGCTTTTGATTGGTCAAGAGGAGGTATGCGTTTTGATCAATTAGACAATTTTTTCATAAGGTAGGTATGTCTTTAGTTTGCAAGGCTGCCAAGATTTTTCATCTTACTCTATCCTGTTCTACATAATTTAATAAGACTTTGTCCTCAAACACTCTAATTAAGTTTATTCAGTACTCTACAAAAGTACCTTAAATGTGAGTGTACTTGGTTCGCTACAAAATAAATGCAGAATCCAATTATATAGTGTCCAAGCCAAATAAGTTCTCACAATTTTAGACGGTGACAATAGATCTGCCGTCTTGATTCTTGCATTTATTTTGATGCTAAACTGACGTTATGCGATCTTCTGTCACAGTCTAAATGTCTGTAAACTTATTTGTTGGGATTCTAAAAATGCAATGCTTGCATGTTCTTTTATGAACAAAATTTCAACTCTCAAAAAAACCTTAAATTAGTAGCCTACCCTTTATTGTAAATTCTTCTTTCCCACATCGTTGGCAGCGTGTGTGATTGGTCTATCTATTACTATTTTTTCCTTTTCTCAGAAATGCCTTTGAAAACATTTTATTTGACGAAGTGAACTTATAGTTTCTTGTTAAGACTTTCATTAATATTTTTATTATTTTATATTTTATGTTAAAACTTCATAATTGTGTCATCACAATTTACTATGAAAATAAACGAACTGTTCCTTTTCACCAATTAGTACTAACTTTTTCCAATTCTCTGTATCTGCCTGTTTACACACATGTAAGGTTTTTTTTTTTTTTTTTTTTTTTTATTCGAGCTTGTTTTTCATTTTTTCATTTTCCCACATTTCTTGTGGCATGCTTAGCCATAGACTGCATTAATTGTTATTCTCTTGTCGAATCTGTGCTGCCTGCAATATAAAAAGAGAAAATTTTTATTGTTATTTGTAACACCAATTTTTGTCTTTGAAAACTGAGGGCACTATAGTAGTCATCATTTTTACTAGAAATGAGTCATACTCAGAGACTTCTAGAAAGTTATTCTTGCTCATTTTGACCACTCATTAAAATTTAAAAATGATCCTGTATCAGGGTAAATTTTTCCTAATGATGGAAACTTCATATGGAGGTAAGCTTCAGGTGTGGACTGCCACTGAAAAAAAGATGGGAAATACCGGCTAAGCAGAGCTCAGATCGACCCATTTTAGTTGTCGTCCCCTCCCGGGAGAGGACCCAAGGAGGCAAACCAATCTAAAATCCAGGGTTCTTCCCGGTGTTCCTGCCTGCCTATCCACCCCTGGTAAACTTATAAAATTATTAGTGCATCCCAAAGAGATATTTCACAATGAATTCTGCCTCCAACTGGTTGCTTTCTTTAAAATGTGAGATACTCGCAATCAAGCAAGGAAAGTTGCCGAGCGAACAGATTGAAAGCTTTTAAAGCCCCCAAACACGTTTCTTCCTCGCGGTTCTGGAACATTCCGTCAACGATTTTTTGTCTGCGCACCTGTTTTGTCCTGTAGTTTATGTCCTTGCGTAAAATAAACATAACAGTGACTTGGTCCAAGCATTATATTTTAGTCTGTATGAAAAATTATATTCACAGTATCGACATGAAGAAATTGAGAGAGGAAGTGTTCTTATGGTAAAACTCATTTTTTAAATGAAATGTTACTTTCTTTTGATTCGTCTTTTCAAATTGTCATTGGTGAATATTTGGTCTTATTTCTATCTTTAAAATTTTCGATGTATAGGTACCTCATATATACTTTTTTTCCCCCTCAAATGAAAATATCATTTCATTTTAAAAATTTTACATTTTTAAAACGTGGCAAAAATTTGTAAAACCTTCTCCAAGCGATGGCATCCATATGAATATCAATGAGCCGTAGTGGTGTTGAAAGAAACTGTACAAAAATGAATAAAAGAGGGGAAAAGCGTAGGAAGCAGGCAATCGTTGGTCTTAACCCATTTGTACATCGATATTTTAGAGTCAAGTACGTCCAATTTTGAACGTTTGGTTGCGCGTATACCACGCTGCAGCACAGTAAAAGTACAAAATATGAAAGGAAAAATCTAAGTGGTTTGGAAATCATTGAATTTGACACGGAACCACCTTAATATTTACAAAACACACATTATAAATTCCTTTAATACATATTTTTCCCCATCAATTTAAATGAGAATAATCCGTGCAGAGTGTGCAAACATTTCAAAACAATGAGTTGAAAAACGCCGACTCTACGACTTTTAATGTTCGCGTCTAACGTAGAGCGGAGCGGCCGGCGCGGCGTACCTACTGCCATGCCAGCGCGACATGCGCATTAGCGCCTACAAACCTAACGGGGATACTTCACGCATTGCGCAATGCGTGAAGTATTCCAGTTAGGTTTGTAGGCGCCAATGCGTGTGTCGCGCTGATCGCCCTTGCCCGCCGCGCCGCGCACCACGACGGCGCTTCAAGCAACTCTTTCGCAACAGAGGTATTGCACAGTATCATACGTAATTGAAGGCGCGTCAACGTATCAAGAATGACAGGCATCCTTTAAGAGGACGGAGCTTTCCTCGCAAATTAAATCAAGATACTGCGACCCAAAAAGAGAGCGGTAGTCCAAAAACTCACCTAGTCCTAGCGTCCGTATTTAATAACGTTCAGCATAACTTTTGAATTTCATTAGAGAAAAAAATGACTCCATTAACGCAGAAACATTCTCAAGTATGCTGTCAAGAAGATTTTATTTTGAATCAAGACTAAAGTAACTGAATGAAAGCGGGTTTCTGCTTGATGTAAGTGACTTTTTTCTTGATCCCATAACTTAATTCATTCAATCGTTTAACCACCTCTACGAATTTTTGGATTTTAATACTGTAATTTGTTTAGCGCCTTGATTTTGAGATGATTTGAAATAATTCTAACGATACAGTCTGGGGGAATTTAAAAATTTGGAGGATGAGTGAGCTCGGGCCTTGCACTTTTAAGTTATGTCGAACTGCTTAAAGTTCATTCACATAGTATTTTCGATACATCTGCTCGTACCCTTTCGTTCCTTTTGCTCTCTCTCGTCGTGAGAGAGCTAAAACAATGTTTAACCTGGAGGCGTCATTTGAGGATGGGGGGGGGGGGCAAGTGTCGCCCGCATATTAAATAAAGTTGACCCAATTTCTGATTATTTTTGGTAAATTTTGATCAATTTTGGGCATTTACGGAGATTTTTGAAGTTTTGAAACCGAAGGTGAATTCTGTATACCCCGAACCAAACTGTGACTAGACCGAACAACTTTTGCCGATCCGTTTCCCTCTAAGATTCGGCTGGAATAACGCCCATGCGTTGACCTTTACTCAGCCGGGCACGAAACAAGTTGGCTCGTGACACTAACACGACCAACTTAAATTAGCTCGGAAAACAAAAAAAAAAAAAAGAAGAGGACACGGGCGGGCACGGGGTGATGAAGTGGACGCAAGCTGACGAGCAACGATTTCGCATGGAACTATGACAAGGAAAAATCGTCTTCACCGAAACTCCAGACCCGCTTGTGTTTATGTCAGGTGCGCTGCCGCTGCGGTGAAATACATAGGATACATTTCCCTACAATTGACTAAATTAATAAAATAAATAAAAGCAGCACATGTTCCCGGTATTTTCAGGTTCAAAGTTTATTAATTGTACAGAGTAAAAATTGCAAATAAATTGAACGTATATTAGTAACCGACAGACTTTTAAAATTAAAGAAAAGCATTAAAAATTATAGCCAGTAGACGCATCCAAGCACAATTATTTCCAAAAGAACTGAGCCAGTGCTGCGAGCTTAAGACGCGGGTCTGCAAATCCATCCTAAAAAAGAATTAGACAAGAACCTGAAAAAAGAAGGAAGAACGAGTATCAACACAGCCTAAGACAGGAAAGACGTATTCGGGCCTCTTTTTAAACTTTTCTCCCGAATCTAAGCGACACTTCATTGACAGTGTACAGCTGAGCATTGAGAGCGCACGCTTCGCGTCATCGCGCCTTCAATTTTTCAGATGCAGCACGGACGTCCGTCAAGTACGAATAGTTGTATCTCTGCGCCGTCGTTAACGCTCATTCTTTTCCTCCCTCTATTCCCATATTGGGTTTGTTTACGTTTGTCATATTCGTAATGGTGCTTCAAGCACTACGTGAGTAACACAGCCAAAGGTAGGAGAGATGTATTCGGGCCTCACCTTTAACTTTTCTTCCGAATCCGAGCGACACCTCATTCACAGCATATCGACGGTGTAAGTCGGAAATCACATAACTCGATTTTTGGCGGTTTTGAGTTACCTGCAGAAATGAAGTGTAGTAGATGCCCTTTTCCTGCTGTCCAAATATTTCAGTCGAAAAAAATCTGGAACGCCGCATTTTTACACAACGCGCGCTCTCCCGAGAAGAATCGTGAACAGTTTAGGAGGGAAAATTAAAAGTTAGTACGTCACGGAATCTTCAAATAACAAAAACATTGTTATTGTTTTAACATCAAACATCTAATCCGACGGATAACTGAGTAATCGTCCGCTTACTTTTATCTTCATTCCATTTTAATTTTTTATTTTATTCGTAATTCGACGGCGTAAGTCCGCAGTCACATAATTATCTCGTTAACGGTGTCTGAAAATTTAAAGGAGGACCTCGACACATTTGACATCATTCCTTGCAGTTTATACAGACTTTTCTTCGCATAGAGAAGAAAACTCACGGCAGTTTTAAAGAATTGCCGTTGAGCAGTTCTCCGTTTAAAAAATGAAGTATGACAGGAAGTCTGCCTCTGCGACGTCGTAAACCGAGTTATGTGATTGCCGACTTAGGTACGCCGCGCCGTCGAATTGTTTTCCGGTGTCATTCTAAAGATTCGCTACCAATTAAAGTTTGTTAAAAGGAACTTCAGGTTACTTTTAAAGTCAGAGGAGTCTTATTCGGTCTTTATTCAGTAAACATAGGCAAAGCATAGGTTTGAATCAGTAATTCGCCAACCACGTATCTCGAAATTTAGTGTTGGACCTTAGTTCCACTAACACATAACTCGGTTTTTCGGTCATTTCTCCTGACAGACGCGAATATTATTCAAAATGATGATAGAGCCTTATGAAGCATCTTATTCTTGCTGTCTCTAAGAATTATTTCTCCTCTACCTTCAAAGATGAGGAATGTAGAGAGTTTTTTCCCCTCTCCTGAAAAATCTCGTTTTCCGAGTTATGTGATTGCTGACTTACACCGTCGATATAGCAGAGCGTTGAGAGCTCAAGCTTCGAGTCATCGCGCCTTCAATTTTTCAGATGCAGCACAGACGTCCATCAAGTACGAATATTTGTATCTCTGCGCCGCCGTCGTTAATAAGGCTCATCCTTTCCCTCGCTTTATTTCCATACTGTGTTTGTTTGCGTTTGTCGTATTCATAATGGTGATTTTAACTAGTAGCATAGGACAGAGAATTGCGAGTTCACGACTCATGCCATAGCGTCTTACAATTTTCATGCGCAATATGGACATGCATCTTGCGCGAATAGTTGTATCGCGTGATGTCACTTTAGATGTCTCTAAGTCTCTTATTTTTAAATTTCGAGATAAATTAAAGTTAAATTTGCCCGAGATATGCTCTGGTTTGTCCAAATCAATCGTCATTTTGAAAAGGAAGAAATATGTTTGAAGGTCTCTCAAGAGTCTTTAAAGGCGTATGTGTAAAAATCGAACCGACCATCGCTCCTGAGGGAGTTACACA